GTCAAATTCTCTAGTTTCTTTGATGAAATTCTAGAAAAATGCACGAGGGGAGAATTTGTATGATTGGTAAATGTAAAAACAATGAGTGTTATTTGACGATGCAATATGTGTATCATATGACAAAACAAGTATTTGTACTTTATGTCAGTACGAATGATAAGATGTAAAAATGTAACAGTAGAATTGATGAAGAAAAAACTGAAGTCTTGTATTAAACGGAAGAATTTCTTGTAATTAAAAGGTTTCAAATAAGCATTAGTCTTTTCATTACTCTGCTGGTTGAATTGTATTTAATTTTTTGATCTATTTTAATTAGCTTGATCATTTACATGAGTTCACATATAGACAGATGACTTGTGAATACAATTACACGGCGGTCATGTCTTTGCATGCAAAATAGGTTATTAAAGATAGGAATAAGTATGGAATAACTTTTCTAGTCATAAAGTCCATACTTAAAATTGTATAGAAATACAAGAAAATCACACACTTTATTCAAATTTTAGAGAGAAATGGCGTGAAATATACTGAGCAGACGGATATTTTGAATCTTGAATTCTAAGACAGGTATGAGAGTGATTGGTCTCCTGGGTATACCTGGGTGCCATAGTAACTCATCCATCATATATCTGTCCCAGCCTCTCTCACACCAATTAGCCATGCACTTAATGAAGCTGCTTATAATAAGCGAACCGTCATCTCTTTAACAATCGAGCCTTGTTGAAGATGCATTCTGGGTATTTTTAAAACCCGATTTGATAAATTGGGAAGTTATTTTAGATGTAGAGATAATGGGATTGAAATTATTTTTGAATTTTGAGTGACTTTTTAGGAGTATCTTTCGAGGTAATTAATCACATCAGTCACGCCTTATTTTATTGGTCGATATTAAATGGGTCCTGGATTTTGGCATTTGAAGATGCTATTCATTCGGAAATGTCACTATTGTTTCAATAGTGGCATTTAAACAATGAGTACTGGGGAAATGTTGGTACCATAAACAACTATCTTGATGTCACTGGTTTAATCACCATAGAAACGAAATGGTCATCGTATCACAAATATCATTTTGGACCTTTTCCAAATGCAAAATTACGAGGCAGGGAGCGAACAAAGCAAGGAATAAAGTAAACAGACATGTAGTCAACACTCTAAATTACACAAAAATGCCAACATTTCATTCAAAATTTAGATAGAAATAGCTGAGAAAAACCATTAACCTACAGACATTTTTAAGCACGGGTGATTCTTTAAAATACCTTTAATGTTCCAATGTGTGTCTCTAGTGAAAAATTGATAAAGTGAAATTCAAATCAATTGTTCTATTTGTTGGGGTGAAAGATTAACAATTATGACTTTTTGTTATTTACATATTGTCAGATGCCACTTTAATATAAAAAGTTAAATATTTTGAAATGCGCCAAATGTTTTGTCTATAGTTTTTATACGAGTGCACCACTCATTAATCATTGGCTGTAATAGCATTAGATAGGTGAAAGAATAGGCAAATGTCTGCAAAATTTTATGAGAAAAACTCGAGATGTACATTAAAAGACATTTCAAATGTTTCCCTCAAGAAATGTCCAGCATTTTTGCCATAGAAAAAATATATAAGCAACAACATATTATCAAAAACTCATAATAAAAAATTAATGCTGATCTATGCTGTCGCTTGTTTCTTCTTATTCAAACATAACAAACTAACTTTGATTTTAATTTATAGGAGCCTTTCCCATGGTTAAAATGTCGTCTGCTCAATACTAATTTCATCTGATTTCTCTCTAAAATTTGACTGAGGTCATAGATTTTTTGGCATTTTGATATAGCTAAAGTGTCTACTTTTGCTTGTTTACTTTATTACTTACTATTTCTACTCTTATTTTGCTATATTTTATGTTTTAAAACTTGTCATCATGACATTTGCTTTGCTTTTGTATTTTGAAAAATGAAGGTTTATTCATATATAATAAGTCATCCAGACAGCTCCCCCTCCTCCTTGAAACTTTCAACATGTTACACAAACCCCTTCCTGTTTCTTGTAAAGTGACATGTCAAATGACTAAACATATATCAACAATAAATCTCAAAACATGGTCATAAAAGTACTTATAAAGCTTACAATTGCTTTTGAGATTTTTAATATTTGATTTTTGAAAAAGTCAGACTTGGTCTTATTTGATTATTGAGGAAACCGCAAAAGTCTCCAAATAGTAATTGTGGTCCAATTGTGGTTTGATTTAATAATAAGAGTTTGTATTGTTAATCTATATCCAGGACGTGTTTTGAGGGTCAGGACGACACTGTCCACGGGATGCGGCATTATGGGTATCAGGTTTGCATGTGGATGACCTCCTAAAGTGCTCCTGCGTCTGTTGGATATATTTTGTTACCTTTGAAGGTCAAAGGTTATGTGGTTAGCACACATGGAAATCCGGGTTGATGGTTAACTTTAGGGCTAGAGTTCTCTATGAGCTATTTGCTTCTGTGTCTTGTTACTATTTCTGTCATCCTCTGATAATGGGGTATTGTGTAGCACCCACAGACCAAAGCAAGTGGGGTAATCTGGTACAATTGTAAACTCTTGTCCATTGCAATACAAACATAATGCAGAAAATTTTAGAAGACTCCGATATTGGATGTTTTGTACAGTGACACCTATACATCAGAAGAACTTTAATTCTGATATTTTGGTTCTATAATTCCAACCTCCTTCTCCCTTTCTTGAAGAAACTGTCCATGTGATTTGGGAAATGAACATTTCTCATCATTTTCATTTATGTATTACATACCTAGCGAAGCATTTGTATAGAAGTCAATGGGAAAGTTAGCGAGCTATATCCACCGATATTGCCCGATTACCCCGATATAGCCCGCTTACCTCGTTTTGATATTAGATTTCTTTAATAACCATGATAATATCATGACGTCACGTCATTGATACAAAGTAACCATGGGAACAAAGGCATGTAATACATCAGTTATGTCACTATGACGTGAAATATGCCTTCGTTCTTGCCCAAATATAGAGCCTCCCAAGGTCGGCCTATATTGGGAGAACTCAGGCATATTTCACGTCATAGTGACATAACCTCTAAATATATAATGCAAAAGAACCAATTGCAATTCAAACATGAAGTTTTTAAACTGTTGCACATGTATGTATAGCAAGAAAAATGATTTGTAAAAGGGAAGTTCCAGATAAGTTGGTTCTGCAAGTATGTTCGGACCATTGATACACCAAGATAGTAGATCCTATTGAAAAAATATCATTGGGTAATATTTAAAAATTCAAATAGTGTAGAATGTAGAGGAATTAGCAAGGAATAAAATAAACAGACATGAAATGCATACTCTGAATTGTATAGAAATGCAAGAAAATTTGGCCGTTTATTCAAATTTTAGAGAGAAATTGTGAGGAATTGACATGAGCAGACGGACATCAAAGCATGGATATCTCCTGTAGTGACCCTGCTTGAGCCCTCATTAGGGCCACAATATTTCCTGACTTTTGACAACCCCATAGAACTTTAGAAATCTCAAGCCTCTACTGAAATTAACTTTCTCCATGCTTCTGCATAAAAATGTCAAGAAAGGTCAGGGATATTTAGATTCCTTACCTCCACCTTTGAATTTTTGTGTTTCATATTTTTGTTTTTACTTGGTATCTTCAAATTAACCCCAAATTAGTAATTACTTGGCTATAGTTTAAATGAGGACACTTGTAAGTGCATCAACCCCCCCCCCCCCCCCCCTCCTATACTTCCTCCTACCTGTTTGTTTAGAGTTGTTATATTGATTTCCTTGCTTTAAGTTTGTTTCCTTATGACCTGCTTCTGAAATTAAAACGATTGGGATCTGAATAACATAGATTCAATAGTTTTGAATAGTAAATGGACCTATTTGATTGGTAACAATACATATAAGGGAAGAATGGTATGACCTAAATATTTTTAACAAATTGATTTTTATAATAACATCAACCCCCCTCTCAGACTAAAATATGAGTATCAATCTGGAAATGTGTATTGTGTGCAACATGTGCATGTGTAAAGTGAGATATTAGAGTGAAGAGAAATACTATTGAAGATGAAGCTCTCTTTTAAGAAGCGAAGTCAAATAGATGCAAAGGGTACAAATTATGTAGATATGTAAAAAATCATACAATTCACTATTATAATTCTAGAGATCAGCTGTGTTTAATAAGGTTAGAGTATCTAAATGAATGGGAATACCTGATGTACATTTGATAATTAATTGTTCTCATCATTTATTATAAACGACTAACAGAAGGTACTCAATTCTGAAGTATTTGGACTTCATCAATATCGAGTACTGTCGAAGTGGTCAGTCATCGCTACTGATCTTACCGCAAGAAATACAACCCGATCATAAAGATCTTAAAGAACAAAAACTCGAGGTAGAGATTAAAAAGATACCACGTCAAGTAGAAATCATCGAAATTGAGATTATCAAATTGACAAATACTATAAAGTGTTTTTCGACCACTACAAAGTGCCCATATGGTATAATCACTTGTCGTTGGCCGATTTTAAATAAACAATCCAACTAGGGGCTTTGATGTGTAATCTCAAATGTAGACGTTATGTAGACTGAATTGAATCTTGTGACGGTTCTCCAGTCTACTATAAAGGGTCACTTTTCAGAATACTGTAATTGAATTTTTTGAATTTCACTACTTTCCTGGGATATAGACTTTGCATACAGGTAGAGAATATAGCACATTTTTCAGATATGAATTAATTATCTTTTAGACTACATAACCTCATATTATTTACTGAATGAAAAATGATGTGTTATAATTTCATGTTTTCTTATGTTATTTGTCAACCTCCAGTTTTGATACAAAAAATTAATAAACTTAAATATAAGTTGTTTTTGTGTTACCTTATCATAGCAAGGTCTAGACAAATAATCATGATCTAAAATATCTGATTATTTAATTTTTAAATTCAATTAATGTTTTTGATTTTTAATTACAGGTTGTACACTCCCTCGTCTAGGATACCTCTTGCGTTCTCTCCGACAAATGACATGGGGTTGACAGACATTGAGATGTCAAATGCGTACGAGTACAACTTCGAGGAATCCTTTGAAAGTGAACAGTTTAATGACTTTGAATATGAGGTAAGCGAATGGAGATTTTGGCTTTTCTATTTCATGTACATGTGGGTGTTTGTTTAAATTTGTGTTTTAGGGTAAATTGGTAAAATATCATAAGGAGTTAAAGATTTTATTTTCAAATGTTGCCACTTATGCTTTCTGAAATTAGATTGATGAATAGGCATTATTAGCACTTTGAATACAAATTCTAAAATAAATAAATAAAAATCTAAAATAAATAAAAGTAATACAAAATGTTTAACTTTCCATCAAGGACCCTTATGTCAAAAACTTGTCTGAATTTTTCTTTACAATATAATCCTTTGTGTTCTGTTCTAATTTGAAGCTTATTAAACAGTTTTTCAAAAGCTTGTCAAGTTTTTTGAATGCGTACTTACATCTAGTTTTACATGCACCAAGTTGTCTTATGATAGGCATATATTTATCAAATGTCGTGTATGCATACATAGAAAATGCCATAAGGTTAAATTTTAAGTGTCAATTAGGTAAAAGGCAAATGTGTACCATAACCATTCTAATAGCACCTTCGTACAATTATCGCTTATTAAGCATATCTGGATCAGGAGACACTCCCTCATGTATACGCAGACCCTGGATATTATTATAACAGATTAGAGACGTGAGAAAATTGTCAATGCGAAAAAGTTATTGACGAATTGGAAATGTTGATCTATGGTACATATAACAGAGAAAGGCTTGATAAGATGTGACCTTGAAACAATAAATTCAGTGAAATGACCCAAGGTCGTTGTCATCTAATTTAGGTAAGTTAAGGAGAATGAGTAATCTGTAAGATATAACTCGAAAGTATGGTTACGAATATGAACACCATTTGGATACAGCTCCAAAATCATTGGATGTGACCATGGGCTTTCAATTAATTTAAAATTGAATTTATAAGAGACTAGAAATCATAACCGTGCAGAAAATATGGGATCAAAGAACACTGATTGATAAAAACTTATTCTGAAACATGAATTAAAAAAGTTCCTTGCATGATATAGAGATAAATATTATTGGATATCAAACGGCAAAATGCATACTTAATTGAATCTATTCACATTTGAAAACAAACAACACACTATATTTTGTTTATGTAGACAAAAAACATCTTTTTCAATTAAGCTTTTCGATATTGGATTTCTTGACATAATTTTTGATTTGAAGCATTTTAGGTCTTTGATAAACTTCCTTTGATCCATTGAGAGTGTCGAAACATGGACGAGGTATTATGCGTAAATCAGTGATCTCAGGAATGGTTGATTTAACAATGATATGGATAGCATTTTAATAAACTGATCCCTAAAAGAAACTCTGTCAACTAGAAATTCAATACTGTGTTATAAGCTATATACCCCTTGCGCTCAAATTTGAGAGTCACAAAATCTCATGAATTTCTTTGACAAACCTAAGAATACTATAGTGCTTATATCGAACAAAGGCACCAAATGACATCAACTTTAAACGATAGATAAAAAATTAATTTTGATTAAAAATTGAGTTTTTACATGTAAAGCTCTCAGGTAGTTTCACAGTAGATTACGATATATCAGAAAATTGACAGCCTTCGCTCAAAGATCAAAGCAGCGAAATTTACTTCAAAGCTAGACTTTATTAAAACATCTCAGTGTTAATTTTATAGATTTTAGTAATAACAGAAGGCCATGTTGTATTTATATTTGTAATGAATATAAACCATATCAAAGCAGCCTTGTTTAGAAAACGTCTCTTGCATCTTGCAAAAATCGCAAAAAGCGTGATTTTTCGATTTTTACTAGATCAACAGTATCAATCACCTTCACTAGGAAGCATATTTTTTCATAGAATTTTTATCGCTAGATATGACTTTTACTAACTGGAATTTAAGTTGATGTTTTGAGGATTGGAGTACTGCAGTCAGCCATGAAATGAAGCAATGACATTTGATTAAACTTACCCATGAATATAATATCTGGGAGTCATATTCTGATACAAAAATGAGTAAAACTAGACTTTTGAAGATTGCAAGCAATCTCACGGAGGCCCTCTTAGGCATTTTTGACAATTTGAAGGTCAACTAAAGGACAAATATCAAATTTGAGGTCAGATGTGAACTCCTGAGAACTTGTAGATGATTTTCAAAAAAAGATTTTGTCAATTTGAAGCGAGTTTAAATTTGACCTTGATAAATTTCGAAATTGACCTTTTTTCAACTTTTGAACTCTTATATCTCAAACTGGGACAAAATTCTATTAAATAGTCAATTGCTAATATGTGTAGAACCCTTAGAGGAATGTGTATATTTCGACTTCGGGTTAAAAATATTAGTTTGTAGTCTCGAACTTTGTGAAACTTAGATAGCACAGTTTGTGACCTAATTTCATGATCTTGACCTTTGACCTTGAAAAGTTTTACCCTTTTAGACATCAGTAGGTCTTTGGTAATCAGGCTGACCTAATTTGAATCCAAAGACTCAATTTGAAAAATCAACTTTTCTTACTTTTCGAAGGTCATTGAAGGTCAACTAAAGGTCAAAGGTCAAATATGAGATTCAGATTCGGACTCCTGGGAACTTGTAGATGATTTTTAAAAAAAATTGGTTAGATTGAAGCAAGTTGAAAAATGACCTTTTTTGACCGTTTTTCGACGTCAAATATCTCAAAACTCGTAAAAATTCAATGCTGACATATAGTGAACAATTTGTAGAATATACTAAAATGTAGTTTCAGTTTAATTCATCGCAAGAAATAATGAAGTATAAGGACAAAGTTAAGAAACTTGTAAAAAATTTAGATTTGACCTAATTTTTAACCTTGGACCTAATTTGATAACCGTGACCCTTGACCTTGAAAATTTTACTGTTTTAGAGCTCAGTGGGTCTTTTATGATAAGGCTTACCCTAAATTTGAATCCAAAAACTCGATTTGAAAAATCAACTTTTCTGACCTTTCGAAGGTCACTGAAGGTCAACTAAAGGTCAAATGTCAAATCTGAGGTTAAATATGAACTCCTGAGAAGTTGTAGATGATTTTTAAAAAAAAGGTTGGGTGAATTTGAAGCAAGTTAAAATTTGACCTTATAAACTTTGAAAAATTGACCTTTTTCAGTTTTTGAGCTCTTATATCTCAAAACTGGGACAAAATTTTAATAAATAGTCAATTGCTAATATGTGAAGAACCCTTAGAGGAATGTATATCTTGACTTTCAATTAAAAATATTGATTTGTAGTTTTGAACTATGAGAAACTTAGATAGCACAGTTTGTGACCTAATTTGATGACCTTGACCTTTGACCTTGAAATTTTTACTTTTTTAGACCTCAGTAGGTTTTTTGTAATTAGACTGACCTAAATCTGAATCCAAAGACTCAATTTGAAAAATCAACTTTTCTGACCTTTCGAAGGTCACTGAAGGTCAACTAAGGGTCAAAGGTCAAATCTGAGGTCAGATTTGGACTCCTGGGAACTTGTAGATGATTTTAAAAAAAAAATTTGGTCAGATTGAAGCAAGTTGAAAAATGACCTTTTTTGACCGTTTTTTGACGTCAAATATCTCAAAAACGGTAAAAATTTAATGCTGACATATAGTGAACAATTTGTAGAGAATACTTAAATGTAGTTTCAGTTTAATTCATCGCAAGAAATAATGAAGTATAAGGACAAACTTGAGAAACTTGAAAAAAAACTTAGATTTGACCTAGATTTTGACCTTTGACCTTGACCTAGATATGAAATATTTTCCCATCAAGATCAAACCAGGTATCTAGTAGGAGCATATAGTAGAAAGTTGAAAGCTAGTAGGAAGTAGAAGAGAAATGCTTTGAAAGAATAATAAGAATAAATAAATAAATAAAGAAAAGCTACAAAAGCTATAGGAGGCCCTTTCAGGAGGGCCTCCTAATAAAGACTTGATGCACAAGACTGTCAAATAGAGTAGATTGTTCTCCGAATCTTTAAAATTTCTTTCTCAGGGTATTTACTTTATTTGCTCTGTGCACGGTGCATATGATTGGATATATGTTTGGTTTGCTTGGATTAAGATCAGTTACAAACACCTAAGAGACATATTCCAATACAATACAATATTTACATTGCATATCAGCATGGAGGATATTAAAGATTTGATAGCTTTCTTATTGGATAGCTACCATTGGAAAGCTCAGACACTAGCTAAATCATGACTACTGTACCACAACAGTAATGTAAACATCCTGTGAATATATATAAATGTATCAATATATATTTGTATTCAGATGTCTTTTTTATTTTGAGGTTGCTTGGACCCTTTATTCATGAAAATATTCATTCATTCATTGATATATTCACTCAATATCCCAATCCCATTTCAGTATCCATATATACAATAAAGCACATGCACATATGAAATTTGTCCTCTGAGGCTTTCTTATTCCTTGGCCTATTGTATCTCCCTCTAGCTCACTTATTCTTTCAATCTCAACATAACATAACATCAATAATTATCCTTTAGCTCCTGAGGGAGCATCAAACAGATATAATTTTTAAGTGCAACTGTAGTTTACAATTAAGGTCAACGTATCTCTTTGATTCCCTGCGGCATCTGGTAAGTTCAGGCAATCACTCAAATCTAAACACAATTATGTGACAACGATTTGTCTCTGCCCCACGTAACCTAATAATCTGAATTTTAAAATAAATTACCATGAGAAAAATGAGCGAATAATTCAATTTCAGGAAGCCTTTTGAGAGATGGGATAAAGAATTGTCGTTTTACTTATCTGGTCTTGAATTGAAAGCAAGAAGTGCTTATGTATCTTACTAATAGAACACCGAAAGTGTGATTGAATTTGTTGGGATTAAATCAGAGATATTCAAATAAATCTGTGTAACGCTTCATCGATCATAGTCAGGAAAGAAGTAGAGAGAGATTGTAGGAGTACGCTGGAGGATATCTAGTATTATGTCTATGTTCATAACTCAGGTAGGTGGCACCCAAAAGGAAAATATTGTCAAGGTCATGTTTTAAAATTTGAAATAAAGTAGAAAATAGAGAAATTAGCAAAATTTAAAGCATATGGGGATGTAGTTAATAGTCTAAATTGTATGAAAATGCCAGAAAATTGAATACTTCATTCAAATTTTAGAGAGAAAGGGCACAAATAAAGCAGATCCAGGTAGAATGCCTAATTTGTGTTCTTGACTTTCTCAGGAATGAGCTCTTGCATAACTTGCATACAATTTCAAGGTCTTCACACGTCTGCAAAATATAAATATTTTGTGTAACATTAGATTTCAAGGTATGTCTGTAATTTTAGAACAGTTGTCTGAGTCGGCAAAAAATAGGTTTTACAAATATTATTTTTGCTTGAACATCCATCTTGAGGAATGTGTGCAATTCATATACTTTACATAAGGAATAATTTTCATGTTCTGTGCACCATCAATATGCAACCATATAGTTTTTATGTCACTACCACAAATTGTTTCAGTCTCCAACTCTTTTGGATGGTGTTTGGCAGTCAGCATTTGGTGTTTGGTGATTGGTGTTCGGTAGTTGTAACAAATGACATGTGGTAACATGTTGCATGTTAATGCCTTGTTACTGAACTGATTTAGGCCAGTGATATATGACCTCAACCTGTGAATGAACATCTGAGAGACTCAAATATGACTTCAAAAGCAACATGTCACTTACCAAATATGCATATGGCTGACATACATAATTGAAATAATTGTTCTTGATCAAACGGCAACAAAGGGCTATCAACTCAAAACAATCAAAAACTCTTAATTGAAGTACTGTACATAATTAATCAAAGTGTGGCTTCTGTTTTATCTGCTTGAATTATCAGGTTAGTTAACTTGTGGCCTTACCTCATTGGCAGTGCCAGTAAAAAAACATGATTCAAAAATCCGTCTGCTCAAGCTTATTTCATGATTTTCTCCCTAAAATTTGAATGAAGTGTATGATTTTCTGGCATTTCTATATAATTTTGAGTATCTACTTCATGCTTGTTCACTTTATTTCTTGCTAATTTCACTCATTACTACTTTATTTTGCATCTCAAAATGTGACCATCAAGAATTTCACTCATGGGAAAGTCAATAAAAGTACACCTATTAATGACGTATTAACGTGGTAATTGGGATGCTCAACCTCCGCAACTTGTTATTTGATTCTTCCTCGAGGTGTTTTCTGAGATTCCATTGGTTTAGATACCTATCCCGATGTAACATACTTTTGGGACCATGAAGAATTTCATCAGTTTGATACATCTGCAGATTAAAATATATTTTTACATCAGATTGAAATATCTAAGTTTATCGTGATCACCCATTGGATACATTCCCCAAAATCAGAGCTAATCTAAACTTAGAAACATTCCACATGTGAGGCACATAATCTTCAAAAACCAACTTATGTTCAGTGTAAAAAAGGTTACACCCTTCTAAAAAATATTGATGAGAATTCGAATCATGATTTATATATTCAACTCAAAAATTCTCATTGTGAATAGATGATATATCGCTAGATGTTGTACTATACTGCCAAGCCGAGATCCTGAAGCATTAAACATGTTAAAGGGGGAGATAACTTATTTGGTAGATTTATGAGTATATTTGTGTCTGCCCATTTTTCTTATACTAATTATGATGTTACCTGTACCCTTTACCTGTCAGTAAACTCTACTTGAAACTTCCTTAACATGAACCAACTGGAACTTAGGACACTCTCTTCAACACATCCTGTGCTCTCAATAGAAAAACACAGGATCTGAATATTTTACAAAGTTGCCAATCTTTTAAGTTATTCCTGTATCTTGTCAAGAATAATTTGTCAAATGTTAACTGAGTCTAGTGGCAGTTTGTAGATAGAGACTTGGATAATGCATGCTACTCTGATAACCTTTACTTCTCTACTTTGATGCTGGCCATTTCAACAGCAATACCAGATATGGCTGTTTATAAGAACACTTCATTTTTCTGATATCATAAAGTTTCAGAAATCTGGGTTGTGTATGTGGGTTAGTTACCATATATAGTATATAGTAAAGCCTGTCTGATAGAGTATTTTTCTGTAAGGAACATCTCTATATTGTCACTTTTTCATGGACAGTGTTCGGCAGTTGGTGTTTGGTTGTCAGTGGTCCATGTTCGGCAGTCGGTGTCTATAACAAATGTAATAAACCTTTTCTGTAAGAAGCCCCTATTAACTATAGAACAATTGTGGCCAGTATAGAGGGTGTTCCATCTATAAAGGTTTTACTGTACTGACCAGGCTGAAGAAGCATTAGTTTTTACAGCTGTGAAAGTCACTTTGTTTAGTAAGAGGGGGGTGATTACGTTTATAATGTCCAAATCATGTACCTTGAATACGGAGTCTATTTACAAATGAGCAAAACTCTCTTTTTAAGATGGAACTCAAATGAATGCAAAGGGTATATTTCATGTTAAGTCATCAATTCATTTTCCATTTTGACAAATATTCCTGATTGCATTACTCAAACAATAGCATCAGATGTCAGAAATATTTCAAATGTTCCAAAATTCAATCACAACGATTTGGCAGTAGATTGTCTATAATTGAACTGGATAATTAATGCTGCAACCTTTGCTCATAGATCTGGCAGTGTAATTACTGGAAGCACTAGTAGGGTCAGTAGGCTTTCATCTCCTATAATGGTCATTAGGTTAGGTGACAATTGTGACAGTATGGTGCAGTGCGGTCACAGATATGGATGGATATGGGAGATTGGTGAATTCTATATGGTAAAGGAGATGTCATTTATGGTACAGTGAACTTTTTATAATCATTATGATTTGAAAATGATAGAAATAAGGAAACATTGATCATATAGCTCACACATAGCCAGAATTTTGCTATTTTTTCAAAGAGTAAACAAATTAATTACAATTTCAATTTCAGGAATGAAAAGCTTCAAGTGTTATGTTAGGGTTAATGTTTCATTAATTGTGCGATATTATCCCCTGTTTCCTGCATAAAGGAATTAAACTGATGTGTACTACATATGACATTATTGTAAAATGGTGACAAAAATCCTAATTGGTACACTCAATATGACAATATTGTAAAATGGTGACAAAAATCCCAATTACTGCTATTATGGAAATTAAAGTGTTTGATTGTTATTGATTGGGAATATCAATAAATATAACTTGACTAAAAGTGGTCAAAGTGAGTATTGACGCTAACGAGATATTTATTGACCATATTTGGTCGCAGCTGGTAGATTTACAGGAAACCATCTCCTTGCGTCTCTTTACATCTCCTTATTGAAACAAAGGAGATTTCAATTTGGAGGACCCTTAATGTTGAACAATTCATAAATTATTTAGAATGGTAATTCACTTTCAGCAAGTTTGTTTGAAAAGTAATAAGAGTAATTATAATGGTACATAATGACATATGTTATTCCATGCTCCATACAGCTGGAAAGCAGTAATAATTCATTTATAAGCATTTAGTGCATTGTTCCATCAAAAGGTGGCAGTTAGGTATATAAAATTTCCAGTTTTCTTATTTGACCAATCGATGAAGACTTTGTATTAGACAATATGCCACTCCTGTGGTTTTACATTAATATCCATTATGGAAATTCCTGTCCACTTTAATCTATACTTAACCTTACTGGTTAACTGTTTTAGCCACCTTTGGAATCGCTCGCAATTTAGGCAAATACCCCAAGCGCGAATTCCATTATTTCAATTCCCTAATACCTGGGTTATATAGAGCCCCGCAGCAGTTGCCATAACAACAAATGGAAATCAAATTCTCAGCTTAAATATACACCACCAAAAAGCTTTTTGTAATTACCACCCCCGCAAAATGTTCAATCATCGTTTTTTTATACAAAATTTAAAAATTATGCACTTAAATAATGGGATCTGGGATATGGGAATAAGTAGGTGTTGGGTAGTGATGAATTCATCAAGAAAGCATAATAGGTGACATTGCGAAATAGAATTTATTGTGTTTATTACGATATTATTGTAAAATATTTTATGAGAATTATTGAATATTGTATATGTTATTGTACATGTTATAGGAGGTGACACTCCACAGAGCAAGTAGTGAAGAGAGACTTGGACTAACTCTATGTTATGGCTCTACGGACGAAGACCTAACAGATATCTTTATTAGTGAGGTAAGAGTTTTTAGATATGTATTGTGACAAAGATCCTATGCCTCATTGTGCTGATGTTTTTCTTTGGCAGTATTTCCAATGTTGAAAAAAAGTAAAATATTTTTATTTGGTTTTAAAATCCCAAAACCCCTTTCATAGTTGATTTTATTATGCTTTAATCGGATACTGGGCCTAGAACCAGGCATTCTGTTCCCACAAGGTGGGACCTTGGTCTGACAAAGACCCAATAGATCAGTTCTTATGGTCACCTGTTCTATAGAATTGCCTGTCAGTGTTGATAAGGCAAAAGCAGGTTAAAACACTATTCAGGCCCTGGATATAAGATCCAGCATTTTTCAAATCCTTCAACTTCAAAGTGGTTCCCAGACTCTAAAGAACAAGTGTAGTCACACTTAGAAACATGTAAGATTGATGTTTTTTTTGAATATCCCTTGTTTTGAAATCCGTCTGCCTGTGCTTATTCAAGTAATTTTCGCTAAAATTTGAATGACGTGTCTGGTTTTCTTGCTTTTTTGTACAGTTTAGAGTCTCACCTTCATGTCTAAAGTCTTTATTTCTTCCTTATTCCATCATTTTTCTCTCTATTTTCCATTTCAAAACATGACCCCATGATCCTTTTTTCTCAGGTTGAGTATTTTGACTGGGAAGAGAAAATGTTAGACAACTGAAGCATTTGTTTTCCATGTTTACTGTTGTAAATACATATGTTATCTATCATATTTCTCATATATCTGTCCAAAACATATGCCAAAGTTGACAGCTCTATGACATCAAAATGTTCGTGAGCCAGAATATTTTGAGAGCTTGTGTTTTTATTGTATTGTTTTGGCAAGTGTATAATGGTAGCATTGTAATGAATTCCAGAGTTCAAAATTAAGAAATCAAGTCAAAAATACTTGAATCTGCTTGTTATTATCTTTTAGTTTCTTTTACATTTAACCCATTCAATTTTTAAGTTGACATTGCAAAATGGGTGTTGTCTATATGTGAGCCTTTAAGAGGAAGGCTTTAAGAATCTTGAATCACTTTTGATTTACTCTTACCTTTTCATGGGTTAATATAACAAGATCCCTAATGAAGAAAACACAGTTGATTTTGATTTTTGGGTCTGCAAATAAACGTCACAGTGGTCATATTTTGAAACACAAAATAGAGTGGAAAATAGTGAAATTAGCAAGGAAAAAAGTAAATAGGCATGAAGCCAACACTCTAAATTGTATAGAAATGTAAGAAAATCAGATATTTCATTCAAATTTTAAAGAGAAATTGAGTGGAATAAGCAAGAGCAGGCCGACATTTTCACATGGGGCGAATTGTATTCTATCTGAGGTAGATTACTGAAGATGGATGGGTCAGGGAGTTGAAAGCACTTCAAAGATTTTTACGTGATTAATTAAGACATGGGGTCATCATTTGAGAAGGGGCCAGGGAATATAAAATAGATTCAACAGAGATTGAAGACATTTCTTACAAAATACATCTCAATTCTTTTGTTTTTCCTCTCTAATTTCACTCTAAATTGAGAAATAACCAGAGTGGAATCAAATAAACGAAGGTGACATTCAAAATTGAACAAATATGGAGGAAGATCAAGGTATTATCATGGGGAGATCTTCAGTTTGTTACATGATGTGATTTAGATCTTAGGGAAATGAATTCAACTGAGATTAAAGGCATTCCTAGTGAATTACCCAGGAGTTTCCTAATCAAGGCTATCACTGATCTCATATACTGTATAGTATACTACTCCCTAGGGAGGTGTAGAGCAAAAAAAACATTTTTGGGGAAAATCATCTTTCTAACTTTGGCCAGCAACAAAAAACAGCTGCAGTTCTCGTGTATACTGCCACTTCTCTAAATATGAACCTTGGCCATGCCTTTTATATTATGATACACAAGATCAGTAGAAATCAGTCAAGGCTGAAATGGTAAATGGCCATTTAAGACCTGTGAATATTATGAAACATATTTAAGAATGAGATGCCTTTAAATTCAAACATTTTTACTTCTGTTCAATACCTCTTATTTTCTGACTCTGATTTATTACGGAGTCTGATTTATTTGTTGTTGATAATTGAGGTCTTTGCAACTATCAGTAGAAATGTTGTTTCTTGAGGTCAGTTTGATTTAATGCAGTCTACCTCAGCTACCACTTTAGACTTACTGTTGAAATAAAACAATATTTTCTTTAATTGTACAAAAATCGAACACCCTAGAATAATTTTCGTATCTTCTTTGAAGGGTTATACATCTTGGACTTCCGTGGTGGTATGACCAACTGAAACTTTATGAATATTGCTTTTCGCTAGTTTTATTTTGAGGTCTGAGGCTAGTAGCTTCCCTAAAGATGCAAAATTTAACTTGAGAAAATGGTAGCTGTACATCTGTTCTACCAAAAGTATTCCTTCAATCATATCAAATACCTTGATAGATCAAGATAGGGACTGTGATCATAAACAATATATCTAGGGTCTGAGTTTCTGGTTGTAAATGTGATGATAAATTATACTGGACAATCACAACAAACGCATAGGTAGGTAGGTATCTTGGTGCATTTTTTATTGCTGTTCAAGTAGATCCAATATACTTACCATGAATGAAACTGTCCGATGGTCATGTTTTGAAATGCAAAATTGAGTGGAAAAGAGTGGAATAAGAAAGGAATAAAGTACATGTATGTGATGTTGATAGTCTAAATTGTATAAAAATATTAAAAAATCTGGCGCTTCATTCAAATTTTAAAGAGAATAATGCGAAATAAACAGAAGCAGACGATATTTGAAACACAAGTCAATTGTTTCAATGAGTACTATAAAGGACTATAAAAGTGTGCTCACTGTTCAAGCCGCTCTCCAGCCAAGTGGTCGCAGCTTTGATATAAGTGCCGTCATCTGTTGATTTGACACACTTATAAACAACACAATAGTGTGTAATTGTTTGCTAATAATTATTATCTGACAACAAAGCGTAAAAGATTTGGGAGAGTATATTACGATATCTCGTTATCTTACCTGAAGATTCTCAGGTAAACTTAAGGTAAATAAAAAATCCCTCTACCTAACAGGGCTGAGATTTAATCTTTGAAACTGTTGAAAATGTGTATACGAGAAAGCACAAAGGGCAACATCAAAAAGATACAGAAGATCCTATACAATATAGACTATGTAGTCCTAAATAAACCACAGAGGAGATTGTGAATTGTATTTGTATTTGATAAATGAGAGAAGGGTGGCTAGAATATCTGAGATTATTGGATTCATCTTGAATAATGATCTAATCTCACACAAACAGCTTTTATGGTCAGAGAAATATGTGTGACCTTATTATTGCTATCTTACACAATAGACCAGATTTTCATATTGTGTTACTCTTCCCTCAGTCTCAGAGCCTGGTATATTTGGAGGAAGTAAGGTCAAAACATTGAAAATGGCAGTGTCCATTCATTTATGTAGATTGGGCATCACTGTCCCAGCTCATGGAGTAAATTGAAATACCCTTGGACCAAGGATGGTGTTAATGACTTTATGGTTAATATGCATTTCCATTCTTTCTACATTTCCAAAACTGAGAGTGGGCATCTCAAAAGTTCAGCAACATCTTCAATAATTCCATGGCAGCTTTTAAAGACCCCTTATACATCCTTGCATACAAGTCAGAAAAATCATTATCATTTTATCAAGCTTATCACTCTGCTGTTTATAAATTAGCTCATATCTGAGAATTCCCACAGGCTTGTATACAGGACTAAATAGTTAAAATGCCAGACTATTTGAGTAAGGATCCCCTCTGAAGATACCCTTTGCATTCGTTTGACTTCACTTCTTAAAAGAGAGCTTCGTCTTCACTCTTTCAAACTAAAATAAACCTGTGAACTCACCGCGCCAATCAGTGTTCGTTGGCCAAATTTGACCGACGTTCTTTATATGGTCATTCCTTCTGACGTCATCGTTGAGCCCGGAATTGACCAATGACATGCGCATATTTAATTAGAACGCATTTGGCTTATGTTTCTTCAAGCTCGCTGATTAGCGCGTAGGTCAAAAGTGATATACCGAAACTGTCACCAGTACCCATCGTGGGGGTGGGGCTACTTAACTGTAATATGGTCTCTACTAGGCAGAGTGTAGTTAAACTAGACTCTGCATGCAGGGTACTCTGAAGACCATTTGCAGTTTTAAACTTATTAACCCCTAAGTTCCTTCTACATATTCACCTTTGATGTTGGTTGTTTGTAAATAAAGGTATTAGGCTTATGGATTAACATACAGTTGGTGTGGTCAAAATGATTATCACAGTTAAAGATGGAATCCACCATTGTATAACTGTGACCTCATCAAAGTTGATGGTAAATTAGAAACGGTTATTCGATCATCATAATCCATGGTAATCCATGAATCATTCTCGTATATGAGTTATAGTATCTTTGATGTACCCTAGGGATGGAGTAACTGTTTCATAGGTGGCATTCTGGAGAATTATATATGATGTAATAGGGATTAGCGCTGATTTGGACAGGTATGGATCGAAATCATGATTCATTTAGATGCATATAGCATGGTCTCTTGGGATGCAGGTTTCCCAGGGGGATTTAGATAAGATATTCTTATTCTGGTATGGGTATGGATCTTCCAAGGCTGTAGCATTTGCATTCATTTGTCTCATTCTTGTACTTTATTCTGATCATTTCTTGAAATAGAAGAGACAGGCCCCAAAATCTGCAATGAATTACAATCAGAGTAAGAACAATCTAGAATGGCGGAAAGCTTTGTTTCTCCTCCAGGAGATCATGGGATATAGCTACTTGTTCATGTATTGTGATGTCAATCTAAAATGGCGGAAAGCTTTGTTTCTCCTCCAGGAGATCATGGGATATAGCTACTTGTTCATGTATTGTGATGTCATATTATCAATAGTAGCAATCTTAAAGTATCATGATAAGGCATCTTAGTTCTTTGCGCTCGATGTTGCTCGTGAAAACGTTATATGTATCAGAATGATCTAAAAGCTGAAACTGCTGTTAAATGTTATAAAAATGTGACAAAGTTCACCTGTAGCTATCAATTAACAGGTATCTCAGTTTCCTTTGATCTTTCTCATCAAATATCAGTTGCCCAATTACACATAGACAATTTCCCCATTGGGAATGAAAAGAGAGTAAAATTCTTGTAGAAATCATGAAATACTGCTCCGTTAATCTGATATACTGAATCAACCTGATAAGGAGGGAGTCTAATGACCAAAACAGTTGTAATTGTCCATCATATTTTGTCGCCTCCTCTCTGAGGGGATTTACGATATTTATGTGGTGTTTCAATGGAGTTTTTCATGTTTTTGAAGATTCTAGATTTTAATCAGGAGATATGGAATAACTTTAATTTGACAAGCTGTATGAAGAAGAACCCATGTGAACCCATCAATAGTTCACCTTAAATAGGGTCATATCTAATTACTAAACATGTGTAAATTATCACTAAATGCTCAAACACATGGTCTTATGGAAGGTTAACAACTTGTATATAAGCAAATATCATCAGATAGGAACTCAGTAAAATATTTCATTAGAGGAGTTCAAAGTGATGTCGGATAAGACAACTAGAAAGATATATTTGGGGGAGAAAATAATATTCAAGAGTTGATTTACTGTTTACTCTGAGGCAATTTAGATAGAGATAGAACTAAATATAAGGACAATAATAAGGCTCTTTGGACTGCACTTGTGGAATAAGACAGAGTAAGAGACACTGCAAGGAAAGGATAAGGCAAGAAGCCACCAGAATGTCTAAGTATAAAGTGAAGGATTTAGGGGATAAGGTTCTGCAACAGTTGCTATGTTGCCTTCCGGATAAAACTTGTGTAAGTACATTAACGTAACAACAATCAAAAGTGCAATCAAACATTTCTCACTCATCTTGCGATATCTTTTAAATATTTGAATGAAGTGTCTGATTTTTTTTGCATTTCTCTATGAATTTAGAGTCTTAACTACATGCCTGTTTACTTTATTCCTTGCTAATTCCATGGATTGTTACTCTAATTTGCATTTTAAGACATGACCAGCATTTTACTCCTGGGTAATCACAATTGCTATCAAAACGGGGATAAACTTCAAACGAAATGAGGGAAATAAATGAACGCATACCTTAAGATCAAAGCACTACATGTGTTGACTTCCCATTGTTATCACGGGCATGGCTCTAATATAAATGTTTGGGGAGCTAGATTTTTTAAATCACAAACCATATATGGCTTGCTACTTGGTAAATAGAACATTTACTTATCTCAACACTTTTTCCTGTGATCATACATATACATGGAATTATGTAAATTGAAACTTATCTCGTATCGCAAAGTATTTGTATCAACTCATGGAGTGTGTGTATTTGTTCTTAACAAGATCTGTTTATATCAAGACTTGCCTAGATCAAACTTGGTAAGTCAAAACCAATTGAGCAATTCAAGTAGCAGGAAGTTGTAGGTCTATTACCAAAGGCTTCCTCATATATTTGACAGGACGGGGCTTGCTTTCAAGGGACAAATGGAAATATGATCGAGTTAATAGAGAAAACTAAGGTTTGAATTAACATAAGCTTTATAGAGAGTGGTGTCATAAATATGAGAATGATGGTTAAAGAGATCTAAACAAATATGAGAATGATGGTTAAAGAGATTTAAATGACAAGATAGGAGAATGCATTCAATATGATATCTAATTTGATTGACTCAAATTAGTCTTGCATCAATCTTTGCCTTCCGCCCCCTCCCCTCCCATCATATATTTCAGTTGAGGGAGAAGGTAGGGGGAATTACATAGGGGATTGATGCAAGACTTTTGCTACCCTGAAACTTACATGGTAGCAGTACAATACTAGATGTACTGTATATGAAGCTGTTCTTTAGTGGTGTTAAGTCAACTTCTTTGCAAAGGGTAGTTACCTTAGAAACAGAATTTTAAATTAAAGTATGATGTTTTTGTACTTTCAGATTGATCCTTATAGTATAGCAGCCCAGGATGGGAGAATAAAGTCAGGAGATCAGATATTACAGGTAAGTTTATTTTATAACACCTGTGGAGGAAATTACACTTAAAATTTATGAACACTTTGGTAGAAAGAATGGATTATGGGGAACATGACCCTCTTGTGAGTTATCCTATGGGAAAAAAGTACCTCCTTTGAGTTGACTTTTAGCAATATACATGAACATGAATATGGGAAAAGTTCCTCTTGTGGGTTGCAAAAAGTGCCCAATGATGGGATAATTTGACCTCCAGTGGGACAACCAACCCATGCATTCATTAGCGGATATTTCACTTATCTATATACCTCTATTTGGTTAACCAAATGATCTTGCATTACAAAATGATGTTGTAAAACATCTAACTGCTGTCATAAAAGACACACAACGCTGGTATGCGTTGATGGACAAAGACTAATTAAGTGTCATTAAACAGAGGGTGGGGATACATGGCTGTTGGAATTGATATCAAGTGACTATAGTATTTGTCTGTAAACTTATCTTTTGATTGAGGATGGGAATGGCATAATCTTGCATCTCATCTCTGGTTTGCCCATGGTCTATGGAGAGGGAACGATGGTTGTGGGAGGGGGGTTACAAGAAGAAGTACTATTTAGAAAGGGTATTAAATATGTTGCTCTTGCATGAGATACTAATGAATTGGTGGTCATTTTGAAATTAGTCAAAATTCAGAGGCATTGTTCAGGAACACAGGAAACATATGCATTACATGGTATAAAGTTGCAAGGAATTTTAGCATTTCATCAGTCAAATTCTTAAAATTAAGTACAATATGTGTTACAGATGAATATTTTAAGCATAGGCTAAAGGGATATTTTAAGCATAGGCTATAGGGTATCGGGTGGGAAAATCATCTTCAAGTGGAATTGAATTAAAGATGGTTAGAAAGCTGTAATTATAATTTAATGACCTGTTGTTCTCTACTTAATTGATATTTATTTCTAATTGTGTGAAAAGAAAATATCTTGAATTTATTAAAAGATCATGAGAACTTGACCTGGAGGTGAATCTTATATTAAATGAGGGAGAAAATTGAGATGTGGGTTGGTTGGATCTTATAAGCATCAGTTTTATCTTTTGGATTTCATCTTCCGTAAATTGATACATGTCCAGCGTATGTAGTACATGTACATGTATGCACTTGTTTGAAAATAATTTTGTCATAAAAAACAATGAGTAATTCAATCGTGATCTTTGGAGGCGTTTGATTTCCGAAAAATATGAATTATGCATTAGATGTGAAATTAATGATGGCCATAATTTCTGAAGCATTGTCTAGTAGCATCGTGGGCAGTAATTATAAAATTCTTCTTTTTGGGCGGCTAATTAAAAAATAGATGCCAACAAAAATGGGATTCCAACACACTCCCTTCAATCATGTGTCATAGAACTGCTCTATCGGAGTTGTATGAAAATGTATTATCATCATGAGAATCAAGTGAAAAGTGACACTGATTATGTTTTTGTAAAAATTTAATTTATTGACTTCAGACCTTTTTCGTGTAATTCTGCGTTTTTCCATGCTTTAGCCATTTATAAGGCACAACCCAGTTTTGAGTGTTTTACTCACAGGTAATACACAAAACAGGTGTGACATCTCGATGGGGATTTATGAGGATTGAAATTCTCTTTGATGTTCAATATTTCGTTAATTGAGAGGCAAATCAGGGCATCATTTTGTTGTTAATTAATTTTATGATTCAGATTTCCCCAAGGCAGATTCCATCTCGTGGCCTTGAATTTCAGAGTTTTGATCATCGAGTATTGTCATTATTCATTGATTGGTGATTACATATAATTATATCATGATGTGTTCAATTTTAACTTCCTCTTTTTCACAGGATCTTTTCATAATGAACTGAGTTAGGATGGAGATCAGGAGCGTATATGTTTTCAAGGATATTGTGTTTTGGAACTAAGTCACTTATACGCTTTCATTGATTATTCATTTTTATTTTATTGGATTTTTATATATTTAATTTTATTTGTTTCTCTTTTCAGATAAATGGTATAGATGTGCACAGCAGGGAAGAGGCAATCAAATTGTTCCAAGAGGACAGATCAGATATCACTCTGTTGCTAGGGAGACAGATTCAGGTAACTATGACAACAATTAATAGTACAGTATTTGTAATTCATTATAACTTGATCTTGAACAAATATGAAGTGAATTTGGTTGATCAGAAATTGCATGGTTACTATGGTAACAGATTCATGTATCCATACTCATGTAGCAATTACGGAACTGGTATGTCTTGCTTGTACTTTAAGATGAACTTATAAATACATATAGGCATGATGAACACTCTTGTTGAAGGAGAAGTATCAGTTACCATGGCAACCTAAATTTGATTTACTCAGGGCTTCCATATTATGGCAAATTCAAGAACTCTTTACAAAGGATTTATTTTTATTTTATTGACAGTTTTAGGAGATCCTCTTTTCAATTGTGACATTGGAAAAATTTGATCATTCTTTTCCATTACAAACATATTGGTATAATAGTGGTAACTGAACTCGCAATCATATTCAAGTTACCAAGGAAACGCAATGCAAGAAAAGCACCAACTGGGAGTTCCAACCAAAATCCCAAGTATTCACAAGATTTATGTGAAAAACTATATGTAAAATAGAAATGTGTCTGGTACATTGAATCTGTCAACAGTGTATGATGGATTGGCACATATGCATCCACCTTACTCCTCGGTTTCTCCGTCTGCTCATGGATATTTCACTTCATTTCTCTCTTAAATTTGAATGAAGTATCTGATTTTCTTGCATTTCTATACAATTTAGAGTATTAACTACATGTTCATTGAGTTTATTTCTTGCCGATTCCACTCTTTTCCTCTCTATTTTTGATTTCAAAACATGACCATCCTGGTATTTTAGGTTTAGGTATTCACCTTGCTTGCTGGTATATCACTTTCACAGGAGCTTTCATTATTTTCTCATTACATGTCAAAAAAGCATTCAGTTAAATACAGAACAAGTGCCCAGTTGTTGTGTCTTGTTGTTTTGTTGATTCCTGGTTACTTATTTGTTTGTGATGTTTGTCAAAGAAATATGTCGAGCAACATCTGAGTATTTTCATAGAAACACACACTTGTTGATGTCCATTGAGATGTCAAGTCATAATGAGGAAAAGGGGCAAAAATCATGAAAATCTGAACAACTGAAATGCACTTATTGTTTAAATCCAAGAATTTAAATTTATAATACTTTTGTCTTAATTATTGTCAAAAAAATCTAGAAAAACAACGGTCTTCATTAATTTCATTGATCCATTGGAACTCAGATTTTACAAAACGTGTTTCATAAACCATACAATATTGTGTTCTGGAATAGAATACATGCACTCTTATTCTTAAAGATAAAGAACATCCATTCTGCACTTAGGTTGGATAAATGTTTAGTTCCGTACCTTGAAATTGTATTTATTTGCAATGTCCAGATTGGCATTTATGTAATGAATGATCAAAGAGTGTGTAAATTACAACTTGGTGTGTTTGTTATTAGAAATCAGGAAAACAGACAGTAGCTGATTGGCCTGGGTACCTGAAATCCCCTCAGATGATATCCTGTTTTCTTTTCTAATTCCGAACTTGTCCAAAATGTTTACACGACATTCTGACCCATCCTGTTATTTATTCTTCTGTTTTCCAAGAGTTCTTGATCTGTTTTTACCAGAATATCAGGAATTTTGAACTTTGCTGTTGGTATCAATTTGATTTATGCATGTATGGCTTCTTTCTAAAGGGTTCTGAATGAGGGAATTGATACAAGAAATAAACAAAGTGGTTGTATTTGCCTTTCGTAAATACTTATGTTGGTTATATTTTGAAATGCAGAATAATGTGAAAAGGAGTGAAAATGGCAAGAAATGAAGTAAACAGGCATGAAGTACACACACTAAATTGTATAGAAATTCCAGAAAATTAAACACTTCATTCAAATTTTAGAGAGGACAGGCGAGAAATAAGCAAGAACAGACGGATATTTTAAGAATGGCTGATCTCAAGGGGTACCTGTGTTTAGTGTAAATACATGGGGAAATTGTAATTCAGAAGTTTCTAATTTCTCTTGATGGGATAGCTTATAATCTAATTTCACTTCAAAGAGTGTGGTTTCTTCCCTATTTAGAAAGAATGTGTGTAATGTACCATACCTACCACCCATATCCCCCTCCCTCCATTTTAATCAAGGTTTATTGTATATTTGCAGATGGATGATGGTTTCTTGGAAGATGGTGGAAATGTAGTCCTTGATGATCTTCATATGGACATGTTGAGACAACACCCTCACTTTAATCCACATTTAATGGGACAGGTAAGTCTTTGAACAACCCTCTATTTTCTCTATTATAGTGAGACTAGCACAACTCTAATACCTTGCTGATGTTTTTAAGCTTATATACAAGCAAAATGACCCAGTCTGTCAAAATCTATTTTCACTAGCTAATCATCTTTTTCCAGAATGAAACATATCGAGTAGCCCTCATATCATGGACATAGTTTCAGATCATATTAGCCAGCCCTCGTATTAGAAGTTTATTATTAGTTTTGCCCCATAGGTTGAATTTAAACAATTTCAGCTCCAGAAATTAGCTTGATATCTATAAACTCCTCCCAATATTTAGTTTGGCAGATCTTCATATACAAAAGATAACTTAGTTTTAAATGGCCGTTGTTCAAAATGTCCGTCTGCTCATGCTCATTCTACTTTTTTTCTCTAAAATTTGAATGAAGTATCAAATTTTCTTGTATTTCTGTACACATAAGAGTGTTGACTACATGCCTGTATATTTTATTCCTTGCTAATTCCTTTCCTTTCCACTCTATTTCACATTTTAAAACATGACCACCAAAACATTTTCTGTCAGGAGTAGCAAATAACCCTTCAACTGTCTTGTCAGTAATATTTGTGGAGGGGTAAATAAACCTACATTTGATTGATTAAATGTGTTCTTATTCTCTACAAATTGAAGAAATGTTTTTTTGTTGTGTTATGATGAAAATAGTATCTTGATATCCATGATTGTTTGCATAAATTTCTCTCCCATTTACAAATAACAAAACAACCTCCCTTCAAATTTAAAGGTAGCTTTGATTGGCTTGTCGGTGATAACACCAAAGTAAATACTATAATGTTCTATACTGATAACTTAATGCAAACATAACAAAGTGGGGTGGTATGTTAAAACTTTATCCGTTCTTGGATCATATCAGGTATTATACTCTGCCAAACAAGCATTGATATCTTTATCTGGTATACACTAGTATAATAGACTATAAGTTAATTGGCTTGCTAATCTTGATATAGTTGCTACTGGTTGCAAGATTTGGAATCCTTTCCTACTCACCATGGTTACCATTGGTTGCAAGATTTGAGATTTCTTCCTCACAATTGTTACAAAATGATTGATTTGTCTTTCTGTTGTGTCTTGGTCGGTCCATTGGTACTTTTTGTTAACATGAAATGGTACAACAAAAATAGTACTGATTTGCACTAAACTGGCTACAGATAACCTAAAGAAGCCATTTAAGGAGGAGAAATATTTACATGCAAATATATAATTACAGTATTTTTAAATGCATTGTATCCCCAATATGGTTTCAATCTCGACAATGTTTTGAAATCACATTGAAAATATCTGTCACCATCTGTTTCACAGTTATCAATGTTAACACAAAATCTTATGTTTCTCACTCATCGTCTTAGCTACAAGTGCTATTGTATCCATGTAAACATGTTCAGGGACCCGGTTGTGTCATGTTCCCATGTCACATGTCCTTGTTATGTCAACGTAAGAGCCCCACTTATGGCAAGAACTCCTTTCTCCAAGAGTTAAATGAGACAGTTAGGTTTGATAAAAGTGATCTATTAAGTTCTTATCACCGTGTCACTTTCAGTTTTTCACATCAAAATTGAATTAATCTAAGTCTTTGTAACAAACGACAACTTTTTTCAAGCTAGATTGATTTTTAATCACTCTATTGGAGGTGGCAGCTTTTAAAAGTCAATAAATTTATTTTTGACATAAATTAATGAGATTTTGTTTAGATTTGGTCCGTCATTGCTTCATTTGACAAGTCAATAAATGAAATTGATAAATATGTTTTTGACAGAATAGGGTGCTTCAAATTGATAAGCCTCTACTTCAAAATATGAGAGCCTACATATATGAATATGGCAGTAAATTCAAACCAAAAACAATTAATTAAATTTTGAAAGATATGATTTATGTATCGGGTGGCTATGACACATTAGGGTTGAACTCGGGTTCATATAGTAAAAACATATTTACTCTAGTAAAACATAAATATATATATATGAATATAATATAAAAATGATACTTATAATTTATTTATTCTTATTATTCCTTGTATTTCCAGGGTAACGATGAGGAGGGTGCCACCACAGATACGGCAACCACAGAGAATTCTCTGACACGACATGAAAAAGATAGCGGTGTAGGACGCACTGATGAAAGTACCAAAAATGATGAGAGTTCTGAGCAGGTATAAAATTATAAAATATTTTAGAATAAATTTTTGTCTGTATCCCATTTTCTTCTACTTCTTTGCTAGAACTTCTTGTGCATGAACTTATATCAGATACCAACACTACTTTGAAACCTTTGCGCACATGAAATTAAATGAGACCAAAACATCTTATACTAAACAATTATATGAAAAGAAGCCCTTATCTCAATACAAGGATACATTTAAAATTGTAATGGCTTATAAATGAACTAATTGGATTAGCATGACAGGATTTTAAGGAGATTCCAATCAGCTACTTTGCTGCTATGGTATTGATGCAAATCTATTGTTTAAACAATCAACTTACAGGAAGTTTTATAAAAATACTGACACATGCCCTCCTATTTTTCATTACATTATGTATAAATAGTAATAATATTGTCCACATGGTTTATTCTGCAATTTGTGTTCAGAGGAGAAACATCAAAATGGTACATGCAAAGAGAAAAAATAAGCTAGGGATTTTAACATATTTTTCCTGTATCTCTTTCCAGGAGATGATGGATAATGAATCGTCACCAGGCAACAATTCAAAGTTTCGTCACTATAGCGACAACAGCTTTACTTCGAATGACACTCAAGAATTGGAGTTTCGCAAGAATGAAATCTCAACACAAGATTGTGAAAAGTTTCGTGAAGTCTTGGCTAATCGTTACGCTGAGGACTGCTCTGCCAAACTTAACGGCCAAAAGGAGCCAAGTAGAAAGGACTCCCATAGTTCTTTGGAGCAGGAACTGGCTCTGTTAAATAAAGAAATGGAACATATACAATTAGAATGTCAAGAAATTATTGACATTCATTCGAATAAGAAACAATTGACAATCGAAGGCCTGGGGGGTAAGCCTTACCAGAGCCCAAGGGTGGTGCCACGTATGGGCACACGTCTAGATAAACTGAAAAACAGCAACTTGGCTAATGTGGACAATGGGAAGTCAGAATCCCCAGTAAAGCCAATAGAAAATATTGAAACACCTAAACATATTGAAACATCAAGTTTAGAGCGTGATAAAGACACTGCATATAACACGGCAGACAGTTCACATAGGAGCACCCCTCTCACCCTGGAGTTGAGCGCGTTTGAAGGGGACACACGCAGTTCCATGCTGCACCTCCCAGCCACGGGAAAATCAGACTCAAGCTCGAAATCCTCTAAAAAATCCGATAGGAGGTCAGAGCGTAATCACTCCCGGGATGGTAGTAGCCATAGTGATAGTAACAAATCAGCCAATGAGGGCAAACGTAGATCACGAAAAGATCGTGAAAGTGATGGGAAAAAATCTGGCGATACTACACCGCAGGAGAAGTACAAGTCTACGGAAAGTTTGACAGACATTTATGCGACTTACGCAGAAGTTATGTACACCAATCAGGCCAATCTAGCCCATACTATGATGGTGCAACAAAAACTATTCGAAAAGAAAATCAGTACCAGTTCTCATAGAAATGATACAACACTTTCACGTCACCCTGATGGCAACAAAAGCGCAGCACCAAGTGGAAATCAGAGCTCCGATCAAATGGAATGGGTCGTGAAACGTCGTGCTGATGGTTCGCGTTATGTCACACGTCGACCAATCAGAAATAAAATGTTAAAGGAGCGAGCAAAGAAAATAACAGAAGAAAGAGCTGGAATGACAACAGATGATGATGCCATGAGTGAAATGAAGGTTGGGAAATATTGGTCGCGGGAAGATCGTAAACGCCATCTTGAAAAAGCACGTGATCAGAAACGTAAACGTGAGTTCATGCAACGATCACGCATGGAAACCCTCAAAGAAAAGGAGGAAGACAATAAAAAGGAAGTGAACATTGTCGAACTGAGTCATCGAAAAATGATGCGTCATAAAGGGCGCAAAGTATTTGACGATTTCACAACTGTACAGGAAATGCTGGTACATGGAAATCGCGAGTCTGCTGGCAAAAATTATAACCCATTATTATCAGTCACAACTGTTTGAAGTAACTCCATGCTTTGAATGTCACAATGGTCATGTTTGTGCTTTCCATTTTCTCTCTAAAATTTGAATAAAAGTTCAGTTCATCCATGAAATTCTCTTTAAAATTTGAATAAAGTATCTGATTTTCTTGCATTTCTATACTATCTGGAGTATGCAATTGATGCCTGATAACTGAATTCCTTGCTTATTTCACTCCTTTCCAATCTATTTTGGATTTTCAAATATGACCATCATGGCATTTTTCATATGGGACTTTTATTAAGTACATAATAGCATATACTCTGTACATTTTCTTATTTATATATTCTATTCAACAGAACTGTACAGTATCATTGTTCGAAATGTAATTTGGGTCTGAGGCTATTTGGGAACCACAAAGCATCAATGTTTTCATTAATCTTTCCAAAATGTTTTGTGAGTTAGTAGCTACTTGAGAGGAAACTGGGAAGATCAGTCTATTATATATAAAGTGTGTTTGACAGATTCCTTTTTCTGTCATGAAAACACAGCATGAGTGGTTTGGTTTCAAAGTGGTTAGATAAACAATATAAAAATGGTTACGTGGATGGTCTGTAATATAAAGGTACTGTGTACCTGTGTACAATATATAATAAATATATAATAATTATAAAATGTTTTCGTTTCAAATCCTACCTAAAACTTGTGGGTTTTGTTGCATAACGAAACATTTGATCTGACACCAAACAAATTGTTGTTTATTTAGTAATGTTTTCATTGATGCTTTGAAAGTTACCCCCAGTCATGTTAATGTAAAGCTGTATATAGGAGGTAATTATATGTGTGTATTGGCAAGGAATTTGCCATTTATAATGTGAGGGTAGGGTGTTTCCATGGTAACAAACCTACCGCATCTTGGTAAGAAGCTATCTTGAAGACAAGGAATGATTTGAAGTAGAGAAGGAAGACGTTTGAATTTGTGGTGAACATTGATGTTGGTATTCTGTCTTCCCATATACAAGCATTAGCATCTGATTTGAATCCAAAATTGTAAAATCCGAAGCGCATATCCAATAAATGTATTTTGTCTTCATTGTTAAAAGTTAAGAACGTGTTTTATGAATTTCTGTTGTGTTTCAAAAAATGGTGTTAAAATAAATAAAAAAAATATCATGTCCACATATCAACTCAAAATCGGCTTTGGAATAAAACTAAATGGGATGCAAAATCAAACAAAAGATTGGGGAACAAACAAGGGATTAAAGAACAAACAATATTTGGGGAAAAAAGCATTATTTTCATCAAAGCATTTCATTTGGCACTGCTGATTTGAGAACCATTTTATTGATGTCAAAATAACACAAATTTTGTGTGGTACGTGTGCTTTTTGGATATCTAAACAGAATATTCAGTGATCTAATTATGGAATGAAAATCGAATTATTGAAAACCAAAAAAACAATACTATGGAGAATTACACTCTAACTTATCTGGACAAAACAATGTGGATTTTCACTAACTTGCAATTGTTAATAAGAGTTGTGAACAATTTTTAAAATTGTCATCAGCTATTATATAAGTTAACTCCTGTCAAAGATTCATGAATAAATTGAATAGAAAATAAGTATCAACAAATTGTTTCTTACAGTATTACCAATGTTCATTTTTTATAAAATCTTTTCTAGTTGTTTCTAGTTCTATGTGATCTATGACAGACATGAGGTATTGTTGTCTTAATTAATTGAAACAAATTGAATTGAAATTCACGGTGCCAATCAGTACCATTTTGGCTAACAGAATCAATGATGGTATTCCTAAATCTATGTATGTTATAGAATATTGTACTTTGCAAATGTCGAGCCTGTAATTTTCTATAATCTTTGAGTTACAAATATTTCAAATTGAATAGTGGAAACAAAGATAAGTCTTGCATATTTTCCGCAAAATTTGTTTTTTATACACATGCATAGTTAGGATATTTGTATACAGAAGTAAAATATGTTCTTTGACAATGTAGTGGTTATTTTAAAATGTTTTATTTTGGGTTTTTAGTTTGTTCAACTTTTGATCTGATCCTGAAATGGTTTCTGTCAAGTAACAGGATAATTCATGTTTTCTTTCATATAATTCATGTTTTCTTTCATATGGTTTTTCATGTACACAACATGACTTGATACGAATGAACTTAAAATCAGTGATACAAAAAAGTATTGTCATTTGTATGCTATTTGGTTCTCCATTATGTTTATGTTATTATAATTGCTACATATAAGTAATTACACGATTACGTTTAATTACAATTGTAAATGTAATTACATTTCTTTATGAAATAAATTATTGTTTTGTATTTACAAAAGTGTATAAAATATAAATCATGTTTTCTGTTACAATTTGAATTTGCTTTCATCAGATTCATTGAATATCCATTGAATAGACCTTCCCAAAAATTCCAGATCCTTTAGGTGAATGGAAAAAATTGGTATGTTGACTAGAATTATGATGCCATAAATGCAGACAGTTGTATTAAAATACATTTTTGAAAAGAATTAGCAAACGGTGAATCCTATTTCTGCCCTGGAACTGAAAGAATATCAAAACTGATAATCAGAGAGATTATTCACTGGATTGGCTTACTAAGCTTGTATTCGCAAATGCAACTAACGGCTACTGGATTAACTTACTATTTTATGACCAACTCATTTAAATACAGGGTGGTCAAAAAAACGGAATCCCTGCATTTTCTTCATATCTTTGTCATTTTAAGAAATTACTCCCTGATATTTCACTCATTTGTAAAAAATTTAATTTCCTACCACCCTACTATATTTCATGACCATCAGACTGATAGTCACAATTTTACAGCACTTTGAACAACATGCTTCAGGTTTGGCCATATCGGTAGCCGTCAGGTGTTAGTTGCATTTGCGAATACAAGCTTAGCATCCCACATTACATGTACATTGAAACCTGTATATCCTTACACCTCTCTTACCCAAACATCTCCCAATGTGAACAGTTTTTCTCAGTCCAAATTTTGTTATCTCCCATGAACTCACATTCAAAAGTCCTTGTAATGTTGACTCTTGCTGATCCAAACAATTTTGGCTGGTTCAAGAGATGTTCGGATTAGACAGGTTTAACTGCATTTCCACTTATATATGAAATCCTTGTGTACCTTGTAACATTTGAACTCTTTCTCCATGCCCAAATACTAGTTATTATTGATTAATACATTTAACAAACTTCATTTAACATTAAGACTCAAGTTGTACCCATATTATGTCTAAGCATCCAAGAATTATTTTGTTCATTTTCACAATTGTAACTATAAGGTATTGATTTTTGAAGACATCCACCTAGTGGAAGTTGGACCAAGTTTGGAGGAAATGGACTTGGGTTTATCTGCTAATAGTGAGGTTGATGGCAGCAACAAACAAGGAATTAGGAAATTACCAAAATTCTGTGAAAAAACTGTTTTTAAAAGTGAACACCACAAAATGGAACACCTTTTGATAGAACATTTTCTGACTCTGTTAGTAGAAACTCTACATGAATTTGCTTTTCATCAACGTCATTTTTGCAGGCTTTATTTACCAAAGTGCCATCTTTTAAACTATAAACACAATATTCTTATATTTGTTCATATTTATTTGATCTAGAGCTATTTCAAAATACAGATGTTAATATTTACTGTTTTAAAATACATCCTAAAGTTTTGTGATTTATCAAAAGTCAAATTGTATTTCAGTATGTCCTCCTTAAGAACTCTATAAATTATCCCTTCAGTTTCATTTGACTAAGTTTTATCCAAACAAAATTCAGACATCATCACTGAAGTAATACAAACATACTATTGCTACTCAAATCAGTATTTCTGTCCAATTAGGTTTCAGACGTCATTGGACTCATTACTCCCTGCAATTTTTCTAAATTGGCAAAACCAGCTATACAAATGTTACTTTATAAATTAAGTGCAAATTTTCTTGAATGCTCATCTTCTAAAGTATTGCATTTCCCTTTAATCGACTCTGACTCATAATAGTGCGAAACACTAATTATACATGTATTGTCCTATGGTTGCATTCGTAGAGCACCATCTAAACGTATAACCTCTCCGTTCAGTGTAGGATTTTCGACAATGCTTTGTACCATGTGGGCGTATACATCAGGCGTGGATAACATCTGAGGGAAGGGAATTGTACTGGCCAGGAATATGCGGACTTTTTCAGGTAAAGATGCTAGAAGAGGTGTATCAAACAAACCTGGAATTCAAATACAAATGTATGATAAATGATGTCACAATAAATAATACAATTAGAGCATGTAATGTAATCGACATGTAATCGGGAGGTTCTGGGTTCGATTCCCACCGAGGCGGAAAAGATGAGGATTGGCAAATTTCAAAGCTATATAGAAACTCCTCTATTGAATTGGAGAATGTAGAACTCTTGAACTTGATTAAAAAGCTCCAAGTGAAACTACATGATGCAATCACACATGTAGAATCGTAACAAAGACCTCGATTCTATGATTTATATTAAATGTATGATCTCTTGCCCATTGCCAAAGACCTCATTTGCTTTGGGTCTATTAACAATGACCATTAAACATCATTGATTTTGATCACCAAAAAGCATAGATTTTTGAACATATCATGAATTTAAAAAAATGAATACAAGTCTACAATGAATTGACAAATCACAAACGGAACATAAGAAAAACAGTTTTTCAAGAAATTTTTCAACCTTCTACTTAATTCCCTAAGAGACTACCAGCGACAAAATGTGAAAATATTATAAAAACGGATATAACGTACCTGGTGCTATAGTTGAAACTCTAATTCCTTGTTTGGCTAAATCTCTAGCAATGGGTAAAGTCATTCCAACAATGGCTCCTTTACTGGCTGAATAAGCAGCTTGACCCATCTGGCCGTCATATGCAGCTACACTAGCAGTGTTGATGATAACCCCTCGTTGACCATCTGGGTTTGGTTCATTTTTGCCCATTTCCCCGGCACTGAGACGTATCACATTGAAAGTTCCTACTGTGTTGACCTATTGGGAACATGACCGAAATTTTTCAAATGCAAAACAGTGTGAAAAGAGTGGAATTAGAAAGAAACAGAGTGAACAATGAGAATGAGAATGTTAATGAGATTTAATGCAGAAACCATGTATATCCAAACAGCTCTGTAATTCAAAGACCTCTAAATATGAACATTTTTTCTGTCACAATTTTAAAACCTCCCATTCATTTCCTTGAAATGTGAACACCTACTAGTTGAAACACTTTTGGCTGGTCCTACTGGCATTCAGATTAGAGTGGTTTTTATTGTATTACAACTTCTTGTGGATTTCAGAGAGTGAAAAGGTTTAAAAAAGCATTGTCTTAGAAAATTAACACAGAGAGATTTTACGTATGATTTGTATCGTAAAAATAGAGTTAGATATACATTTTTACGATACAAATCATATGTAAAAAGCTCACTGTGAAAATTAATCGCCAAAATCAGATATTTTACGTATGCTTAGTATTGTAATTGTGACTTTTCGAAAATTAACTTACCGTTAAAACTTTCGCAAAGTGCTCTAAACTATGAGGCTTATCTTTGTCAAAGTTGTAAGTTTTTACTGCGATCCCAATCCCTGCACAATTCACAGTCACATCTAGTTTTCCAAACTTTTCTTTCGCGATGCTGACAGCATTTTTTACATCTGCTTCAGAGGTTACCTTTAGAAATAAAATATTTATGTGTACTTTCTTTGAATAAATAAAAAATCAATCAAAAAATTTAAATAAAATTAATTTTCATTTGAAAAGAGAATCATTCAACTTTTGCAAAAGTAACTTTAGTTAAGCTATCTATTCATAGATCAAAAGTAAACCCCACCCTGCATAAGCTATGGGACCTAGCATTGTCTCTACTTTCAAATGATATTACTGAGAAGAGAGTTGATTGATTGAACATACAGGCCTGTAGCCAGTGGGGGTTCGATGGATTTGAGCGAAATTCTTTTAATACAGAAGGCCCTGTTAAGTGTAACACATAAAAGTGTAACACCTACACAAGACAAATACTTTTCAAAGTCCTGTTACTCAACTATAGACCTCTGTGTGACATTTCACTACTATTCTCCATGAAACTGCCATACTACCTCAACCCTTTTATGAATAAGGCAAAAGCACTCCATCTATTTATACTGTCATGAAAACTCATTAACATGTAATCATGTACAAACATCAGTGGGTGTGAAGATACAGTTCTCTCCCAAAGTTTTCGCAACTTCTTCTCCAGGGGAATTTGGGAGATCACAGATGACAACTCTCATGCCCTGTCGTATGAAGCGTTCTGCTGTGCCACGTCCTAAACCGGAGGCACCCCCAGTCACAATCCCAGTTAACCCCTGAAATAAATATATATTTTAGACTTTACATACTACAGTGTATAAACACACTTAGAAGCTTAGAGTAGACACAGATCCCAGATGGCTGCGCAGGGCTCTTGATAGGTTTTTAGACTGTGGCTCAGCAGGCAGCCATTATAATGAAGAAAATGGGAGAAATTCTAATTTGAACTATGTCAATTTAACATGCATCTTTGAAATTTCGAAAAATCTATTGAATTTAGTCCTATGCCGCATGTCTTTCTGTGTGATGATTTGAAGTTTTGCAAATTAGCCCCTTAACTGTTGGAGACGACGATCTCAATTTTGCTGATTCAGCATATCGTTTTTTCACTGAAATAGTAGTTTTGTGCCTAAATGACTACTGCCTATTTAAAAGAGGATTCAATGCAGTCCTTGCCCAATTAAAAGGTACATACCTCAAATGTGCTACACTGTGCAAATTATTAACATTTTTACACTTTTAGACCAACCAAAAACCTATGTTAAAGGGACGTATTTATATAACTTACATTAAAGACTCTGCTAGTTGGTGTAGTCATCAGAATTTTGTGAAAAACTAAAATTTAATGGTCTTCTATTGTGCAAATCAACATATATTCATACTTACGAGAGTGTATGAATTTTTGGTGCAATTGCTACAATATTAACCAACTTTTTTTTTTTATCTATTACCATTACTAGGACCAAAACCCCCCCAAAATTACCAAAGAAAAGTTCAGAAAATCGAATTTTGCATGTTCACGTCTGACTGATTTCGCTTGTATTGCTGCATTACCATTGCACAGAATAGAAGTCTTGTGGATAATGCAAATTTTCTGAACATTTCTCCAATAAGTTATTCGTATGAGAAAATAACCACTTTCAGTCTTGAATTAAGTATTTCAAAATATGATGACCCCAGGGGTCAGAAGAACCCTATAAAATCAAAAAAGGCTGGAGGAATTGGACTCAAAGTTTGGAAATCACTTCAGAAAACCCCTAACATTTAAATGAACATTGTACAGCATGGATATTCAGTCCACCATGACCCTATTAGTGTGTAGTATCCTTACTCAGTTTGTTTATTTCATGCGAACTCCCATGCAGTGTCTTGGAATAGACACTGCGGCGGGCAGATGAAGAAAATCACCAAAATTTGTTGAAAATAGTTCTTTTCATCATAGATGTGGTCAATTTTCACACAACTTATGAAATATATATTCATTTATGTTCCCCAATCATTATTTTGTCAAAATAATTTAAAATTAATGAAATATGAGAAGAAATTCTCATGGAAGGAGTTCTGAGTAAAAGTTGTGATGATAATAGTTTACCACACGTGTTGTTTATTAGTTAATACGCGCAATTCAACCAATGAAATAGTCTAAATTTTAGGTAAATTTTTTGACATGATGCCGAGATGTTTTGCTGTATTTCTCTGAAATTCTTTGAAATCGATGGGCCGCGATTTGAGGAATTCTAATTTGAACTTTGTCAGTATTTAACTTATATCTCAATGATCCAAAGAGTAAGGAGAGTTCTATCATTGTGGATGATTTCCAGTCTGTATATAAACTGGTACAAAATTCGTGAACGAGAATCTTAGTACTTAGTATTTGTCAGTATTCAACTTGCATCTCAATGATCCAGAGAGGAAAGAGAGTTCTACCATTATGGATGATTTCCAGTCTGTATATAAACTGGTACAAAATTCGTGAACAAAAATCTTATTTATAATTGCCTGTCAGCTGACAAAAATTTATGTATCCATAATATCTAACAAAAACTCTAGTTTTATTTTTCAACATTAAAAGAATAATAGCTGGCTGTAACTTTTACAATTCCAACAGTTTGACATTAGATTATCATTTTTTGAATAAGAAGGAATTATTAAAGAAATTTGTTGGAAAAATTTATTAGATTAACTATTACAATTATTTAATATTAGGAATTATATTACTTTCTATAACTGTGTACCTGGCTGTATCCAAACTGTATCCAATATGTGAACCTGTTTATCAATTTTTGCAAGGCAGAGGTTTCAACTACCATATAGAACTGTTTAGAGAGCATTAAACATGTCCAAATTTTTTGGTGAAAAAGTGACCCACTTTAGCGACACGTCCCCATATAGCTGATATATGGGAGTACCCCCCCCCCCGGGTTTTGGAACCGCGGAGCCCCCTATTTTTCAATTGGAGCAATCAGATTGTGCAAGGCATACAAGACGCACGCACAGTAGCCATGAAGATATGAAATTAAGGTAACTTATAACTAAATCAAAAAATCCAAGATGGCCGAAACCAGGAAGCACATGGCATTTGAGTATAATCTGACCATCAAAATTAACTGTCTTTTGGTTGGATTTTCAATCAATTTTTTAGTTCCACTTATCATTTATATAACCAGGCTCACTGTGGTAATGCAAATAGAAACAGTAAACATTTTGGAATGGGAATTTGAGTCCTCTGAAAATGTGACAGAAAAATTGACAAAAAGAGTAGCACGGCAAAGGTCCCTGAACATTTTTTTTCTAATTTCTCTGAAACATCCCTTTAATATAGCCCAAAATGGAAGGAGCTTTCGGATTTTGAAATCTCTCATACAAATTAAAAAAATAGAAAAAAACAATTTGAGAAGTGTACTTTTTTCCTTATTTTGATCCCAATTTTTTTATCGGGTAATTTTTCAAATTTCCGTTGCTCCTTCATTTTTGATATATGTTTGAAGTATATTTTCTGAAATGGTCAGATATTTTGAATCAGCGGTTTTTCACCGGCTACTCCTAGAAAAAAATCTTCTCAAATTCTTTAAACGGCACTTTTTTTCTCAAACTAACGTTTTTTCTTGTTCTTTGATGTCTTTGTATTGATTACAGTGCACAAGCATATTGTGAAATAATAAAAACGACTTCTCAGGAAGAGTTTGAAAATTTCAAGATTGTGAAATTTTCTATTTTTTCTGAAAATCGATTAAGTTAACAGTCACCTTAAGGGGAATTTAGCTTATAATCAGCTAATAATAGGACATCTCATAATGCGTGGTTGAGCATCCTCACCAATCGAGAATATAATGGCAAGGGTCAAGCTAAGCACAAATCTTTAATGAGAAATAATGTCAATATTATGATTCTTATTGTTCGCAGGTCTGTCCCTTTAGAAAACACCACCCTGCTCATTAAAAAACAGAAACTGTTGGACTTTACACAGAGTTCAATAGCCACTTCCGGGTACAATTTTCTTAATTGGCCAAATTATTCTAGTTAGGACAAAAACTGCCTTCAAACTTTGATCTCATGGCATTGGCTATATATTCATAAATCATAGCAAGAACTGTTTTAAACTATTCTACTCTAGATAATTAGAAAAAATGAGACTTACTTGCAATTTAGCGATTGTTGCCATTTTTAAGCGGATCCGGAAGTTCTCAACATGTGTTCCGAAAAGAATTGTGGGATACACACATGCTGAAATATGAAGCAGTTTTTCAGTAAGTTTCTCCAAATATCTACTTAAGAATGTGTTGAATATTTATGATACCCGGCAATAATACTCATATATATATGTTGTGTTTACAGAGAAAAAGAGCAAGCGTACTACGACGCGGAAACTTAAGAAAATCGAGAAAAAGGTGAGGAAAATTTCATGTTTTGAAAAAAATCTAACTCAATTTTGGTCAATAATAGGCAGGCAAGTAAGTCAGATTTAGATCTGGAAATTGTGATCTGTTATTTATCTCTGAGCCCCAACTATTTCTTTCTTGGTCAATGTCCTTATCCCGTGCCAGGACTATAGTCATGAGAACGTCTCAATCGTTTGCCTGTACGATTGATAATTGAAATATTAACATGCGGATTTTAGAATATTACTTAAATTTATTGAACCCTACAAGAAATTTTACAATAGTTTACGGTGTTCCGGATGATATTTCTTCTAGCCAAGAATTGGCTAGAGACTCAAGTAAGATATTACACTTCTTTGCCTTATCTAATCATTATTCTCAAACAAAGTGAAAATGTGGTAACTCTTTTGACTCGGTTATAATACTGATTTTATTTCATCATATTTATTGATCGAGTGTATTTCACTTTACTTTTTGATTCCCAACACTCTAAGTATTATTTTCGAGCTTGAATCAGAGCCTAAATCGCTTGAAAAATCTAGAAATGGAGCAAAAAGTAGTACGTTAGAAAGTGGATGAATGATAATTAATGCATGCTGGACTTTTACACTATTCATCAGTCATCTCCACAGGATTTTTTCTCATGTGGGTGCAAAATTCTCATTTTTCACAATTTAGACCAAAATTGGTGAAAATATGACCATTTTTCATGATTTTTCTCATTTTTAAGTGGGTGCAACTGCAAATGGATTTTCAGGTGGGTGGAAGCCTATTTTCAAAATCTCAGCTGAGTGCTGCGCCCACTTGCTGTAATGCTGGGGAGATCACTGTTAATGACCTTTATGCTCATTACCATCAGCTTCAACTTCATCTAGACTATATTCATTGTACATGTATTTATTTTTAAAGGTTAGGGAACACCACAAGAAACTACGTAAAGATGCAAAGAAAAATCCAAAGAAAACGAGTAAGTTTACATTCTGAACTGAACAGGGATCATATAAGTGATTTCCTGGCAAATTATTTAATTAAAAGGACAAAATGATTGACAGTCGAGATTCACATTTTCCAAGAGAAGATGTGGGTACTAGTGTTGTCACGGTAAATCGATACTATCAGTTATCACACCTTTCAGCATGTGATACAGGAAATATTCCACGAAAGGTAATACTGTATCATCCACGAAAGCGAAGCTTGAGTGGTGATACATTGTTACCCGAGTGGAATATTTCCTGTATCACATAAGCTGAAACGTGTGATGACGATTTTATCACATGTCTAGGAATCTTGAAGCATTTTGATTTGGTCAGTTATGATTGTGTTCAGTACCTGGTGTACTTCTGGTAACTATTATAATTTTTGATTTCGCTTTGAAACAATATGACGTCATACCGTTGTATTCGTACTTGTTTGTGAAATATTATGACGTCATATTGTTTTCCTTAGCTAGAAGTGATATAATCAGTGACGTCACATCGTTGCTATTGATCATCACTGGTTGCCTCTAGTAACGTGTGAGACGGCCGTGTGAGACGGGAAAACTCACTCGGTAATCAACCAATCAGATTACTGGAATTTTACAGAGCATGTGATAATATCAGTTATCACATGTTTCAGCATGTGATACAGGAAATATTCCATGTCCGCTTTCGTGGATGGGTGATACATTATTACCTGAGTTGAATATTTCCTGTATCACATAAGCTGAAACGTGTGATGACGGTTTTATCACATGTCTTGGAATGTTGAATTGAAGTATTTCGATGTGGTCATTATGATTGTGTTCAGTACTCTGTACTCCCGGTAACTATTATAATTTTGTGTGCTTTGAAAGTTTGCTTTGAAATAATATGACGTCATACTGTTGTATTCATGCTTGTTAGTGAAATAATATGACGTCATACTGTTTTCTTTAGCTACGAAGTGATATAACCAGTGACATCATATCATTAGTTTTGACTCCGTAGTAATACATCCCACTGTATCGCATTAAAATTAGTCACATTTCTTGTGATACTGTATATACGTTGTCACAATTGACCTATCAAAATGCTTAGATTTTATTTTATGTTTTCTTATCCTGAGTTTGTTTCTCCTGTTTGTTTACATTTTTTGTTTATACCATGATAATGGAATGATCACCATGACATTTGCGATCATTTTTGTTATTGTAGAGAAGAAAGATCCTGGCATTCCTAACAGTGCCCCATTCAAGGAACAAGTTCTGAAAGAGGCAGAAGAAAGAAAAATCAAGGTAATTAAAATAGGATTAAGGTTAATTATTCGGGAATGAATTATATTGGGAAAGGTCCCATTATAGGGATAAACACTTCTAACTTATGGGATTTTTTTTACATTAAGATTTATTTTCATGTCATTTTAAATCTTACAATTGCAAGACAATCAGTGCTCTCCTTATGCGTCGAACCGTGGGACAAATCCGACTACTCATGCTCTGGGCCGACCAGGACTGACAGGCTGTAGTCCGAGTGTCTGAGGTAAAAATTCTCACCAAATCATGGTCCAATCTTCAGTCCGATTGTCCTTTTATCCGTCCTCGGGAATATGACTGAAATGCAGCTCATTGTCAGTCAGCGTTAAAATGCAAAAATTAACAAAAATATTTCAGAATATTTGACAATTTACGTTTGCCCTGTGAGTAATTTTGCCTCAAGGAAAGCACTGAATACAATGTTTCTTGTATCAAGTTCTATTTTGAAATTATGTAAAAAAAATTTATTTTGGTACAATTCCAACTTTTGCTTGAAATGGGATGATATGAAGTACATATTCTGAAATAGGAGAGGAAAAGTAATTTAAAGTAAAGGCCTTATCTTAAGGGATACCCCTCCTGAAAATCTCAATATTCTCTTTATTCTGCCTAATACATGTACAGAATAGTGAAGAATTTCAGTCAGATATTTAAATCATCATGTTTGATGAAGATTTCAATAAGATGCACATGCACCTAATTTAAAGTCTTCATTTAAAGATAGTGAAATGGTCTCCCAAATTGGAGATTCAAACAGAATTGATGAGAGGTTAAAATTTTTCAGTTAGAAGATGAGAGGTTACGGAATAAAGAGAAACAGAAGAAGGCTCGGCAGAAGCAAGTTGCCAAGAAACGCAACCTCTCCAGTATGATCCTAGATGCTCAGAAACGACAGAAAGAGTTTGAAAAACAAAAAGCTGCCACTGGTGAGGCAAATGATGAAGCTAACAAACCAGTAGAAACCTCAAGGAAAGCATTCTATAAAGAATTCAGAAAGGTGAATGCAATATAGAATATTGCTTGGTGATTTGTACACAGTGAAACCTGTTAACTAGAACACCCTTTAACTAGTATATGGAACATCTAAAGTGGCACACTTCAAAGTTACCTATTATAGGTGGAACACCTCCCAAGGGGAACATTATTTCGAGGTACCAAAGGGGGTTCCACCTACACAGATTTTACTGTACATTCAATCAGATCAGTTACATTTCACCTGTCACGCCTTTTGTCTAGATACCTCATGTATTTCTTAATCCAGTGTAAGTTGTACACACAAATGTTATTTCAGATTTAGATTATATTTCTTAAATTATATTACCATCCACTGAAATAATAATTTCTACACTCAATTAAACCCAAAAAGTTGTTATATGACAGTGAAAGAATATTTGCATGTATGCTTAACATCCCCTGGTGGAAAAATAACATGGGACATCCTGATTGTCTCAGCTAACAGATAATGTCTCTGTGACAAAAGCAATTTATAATATATGTTGGCATTCTTATATGCACAATATAGAGGGTTTCCATCCATCAAGGTTGTTAACTCCATCTCGCCAATTCCAATTTATTCTGCATCCACAAACATTCTTATATGTTACACATATTTCCTAACTGTACAAACACCATTTAGGTGGTTGATGCAGCTGATGTAGTTCTCCAAGTGTTAGATGCCAGGGATCCACTTGGCAGCAGGTGTGTGGAGGTTGAACAGGCAATTTTGGACTCCAGTGCCAAGAAGAAGCTAGTCCTTGTACTAAACAAAATAGGTAAGTTATGGCAAGAAGAGAGATGAATAAATGCATAACAAGTTCTTGTTATGAGAGAGGTGAATGTTTTTTTGGACTTAAACAAAATTGGGGAATATTTGTAATAAAAGAGGTGAATATTTGTTATAAAAAATTGGTCAGTTTTTGTAATAAGGAAGGTAAATATTTTTCGTATTGATAAACAAAACAGAGAGTTTTTGTAATAAAAGAGATGAATATATGACTAATAAACAGAATTATGGAGTATTTGTAGTAACGTCATTGAACGCAGTATTTTCAAATACATGTTATTAAAAAAAAATGGTGTTCTTCTCATTTCAGATCTTGTTCCCAGAGAAAATGTAGAAAAATGGTTGAAATATTTAAGGAATGAGTTTCCCGCAGTTGCGTTCAAAGCATCCACTCAAAAGCAGACGGACAATCTGGTGAGTAAGAATATTGGTTGTCATTCCGGCACTATTTAATTTGGTGAATATGCCCTTTTGAACCTTTGACATGGTTTAATAAGACTTTTAGAATTATGGCAATGGCCATACCATCATCATTAATGGACTTTTCCCAACAAACCGTGACATGAAAATCATGTGATATACAATACATCATATGATATACCATCACGGATCGTGAGATCATGAAAATTATTTCAGAAACAATATTGAGAATAACACTCATCATTGTCATGATTATCCAGATTTGGCAGGAAATACAAACCTGAGATAACACCCTAAATGATATAGGCTAGGAAAAAATAATTCGTACCTTAATCATGCTATTTTGGACAGATACTGTTGCTAATGTAGACCATTGCAAAATCAGATGTGCTACGCCTTATTTTCGTAAATGGACCAATCAGATCGTGAGACACATGTATAATCATCATGAAGATATGGAATGGGAATTTTATTTTCAATAACTGGTGTATATAATGAGCTTAAAGTACAATTTCCCACTATCCGAGTATAGATCAGTACATGTACTATAAGCATTTACAATGTTCCAACATACATGTACATTTATCGTATGATCTGTAAAATGAAGCCTTCTGATTGGTCAGTTCTTGTGCTGTACAAATCTGTATTGCTACTGAGATTGTCCCCATTGATCATCTCCGTCGCAATACAGAAAATATTGGTACGGAGGAGACAGTAGCAATACAGAGGATCCAAAATGACTTTGTCTCGTTCCAATACGGAATTTCTTGAGCAGAATATATCCTGTATTGCACTTCAAATCATTCAATAACTTATAGTATAGCCAAAAGAGATTCTGTTTTGTTTAATATAATACCCAATATCTTTTTCTTTTTTCAGTCACAAGCAAAAATTAATATAACATCACAAAAGTTGAAAGGTGACACGGTTAAAACAAGTAAATGTCTCGGTGCAGATGTCCTTATGAAACTGCTAGGAAACTACTGTCGGAACCAGAATATTAAGACCTCAGTCACAGTTGGTATAGTGGGTAAGTTATTCAAATCGCATATCGAAATTATTTACCTTTTGGTTTCTTGGTATCTTGAAATATGTTTATTATGTAAATGACAATTTATTCATTTGATGTAGTCTGACATCAATCTTTATTTAGTTTGAGCATGGACAAAAACTTATATGTACTTTTTGTTTTGTCTTGTTTTCTAAGATAAAGTTTGCCATATTTATAAAATGTCATGGGTAAACATGAAAACATGTGTATGAATCATTTTGTAATATTGTAAATATATAATAAAAGAAAATATGCTGGATAGTGTGTGCTGGATAGTCTGTGTCTGTAAAGGTTCAACTCGATTACTCAAATCATTAACTTTATGCGACTTACCTACAAGTTTCTCATGTTTTTTTAGGATTTCCAAACACTGGGAAAAGTAGCATTATAAACAGTCTCAAGAGGTCTAAGGCGTGTAATGTCGGTGCTATGCCGGGAGTCACAAAGTAAGAGTCCATGTTTTGTTTCGGTTCCTGTTTAATTGAAGAATGTATTGAAATGTGTGTTTCACCAAGTTAACTAAAATGATGGCCAAGTTAACCAGTCTCTTAAGATATCAATTTGATTTGTTGTTTTAATCTTAATAATCCATGATGTCGATATAATGTTGATATCTTTTCATACTACGAACTTTAATTTGAACAATAATGATTTTTTTCCAGACAGATGCAGGAAATACAACTGGACAAACATGTCAAGTTATTGGACAGTCCTGGGATCGTCATGGCAACAGGCGATAGTAATTCATCCGTTATTCTCCGAAATTGTGTGAAAGTTGAAACAGTCGAAGACCCCATAACACCAGTGCAAGCAATCCTCAATAGATGCAGTAAAGAAAAGGTGTGTGTGTGATGGAAGTACACACATTTTGTTATTATTAAAAATAAATTCGTAAATAGAAAAGGGGAGGAAATATTTAATAACTCGGGACTGAATGGCTCATAATAAGTTTGCTGTATGGACGATACTACTTGATATTATTTGAACGGTGTGGTATTTTTACGTATTGCAGATGATGCTACATTATAACATAACAGATTACTCATCAGTCACAGATTTCCTTGGTCTACTAGCCAAGAGGTTAGGTCGTTTGAAGAAAGGTGGCGTCCCAGATGTTTTCAGGGCTGCAAAAACTGTTCTCCAAGACTGGAATACGTAAGTAGTAGAGTCCGCTTAATACAGCTTCAAATTCTATTTCATTCATTTACACATAATGGGCCACAACCTTATTTGAAATAAGTCCCTTCTCTCGCTTGTTTTTTAAAAACACTGATTTCCTTTACCATCTTATCTGAATGGATATTACCATGTAAATTCTATCAATCATATAAGATATAGAGAAGTTCACTGGACAAAATGCCAGCTCGGTGTATATGATTCAGATTACACTGGATAATCACAGCCAAGGAATATGGCTTCTTATATCCTTTAGAACATAGACATACCAGAGAGTGAGGAATATGACAGTGATATAATAATGTTTATTATTTCTAGGGGTAGAATAACATACTACACACAACCCCCAGAAACTCAACAAACTGGCAATGTTTCCATTGTACAAGAGATGTCCCAGGCCTTTGACATTGATGCCCTGTTGTCTGATGAACAGGACACTCTAAAAGGTAATTATATATACAGTAAAATCTGTTTAAGTGAAGCACCTTTGGTACATCTAAAAGGTGTTCTTCTTTGGAGGTGTTCCACTTAGAGGTTCATTACTACACATTTAGTCAGTTTTTCTTGGAACTCTGAAAAGTTTTTAACTAACAGAGGTGTTCCACTTATAGAGAGGTTCATTACACATGAAGTCAGTTGATCTTGGGACTCTGAAAGGTGTTCCACTAACAGAGGTGTTCCACTTCTAGATGTGTTCCACGTTACAGATTTCACAGTAATTAGAATAATATGTCAGGTTGAGGTGATGTTTTAACATGTGTATTGTAGAATGAGAAAAATAAGAAAAGAATATGATGTTGAAACTATTTTATATAGAAAAGTAGATATGAGAGCAAGATCTTGTTTTTATGGCAAATTTTTTCCCGTTTTTTAACGATATATCTTGATGCAGCTTGTGGTGTGATTTCATTCCCAGTATGTGCCTTGTTTATTCAGAGATCTAGTACTAACTTCAACAATAAATTTTGCACTCCCTTCCATCAAATTGGAAGATGTCATGATGGTCTTTGAATATTTCAGCTTTCAGGGTTGACTGCTCCAAAAAGTAAATGTCTGTCATTGATTTAGGTTTAAAACAAGCTACTGAGAAGGATTTTGTATTGGTTAGTGGGGGTCCTACATCTGCCTTGGAGACCCCTTGTGATGATGATGAGATGGGAGATGATAACACTGAAGAGGATGATGAAGATGAAGACATGGAAGATGATAATGATGACAAAGAAGTAAGACTATATATTCACTAAATCAATGTGGTAAAGTGGTAAAAATGTAACCATGTCAAATGTAGACTATATCCTCTAGTCTGAAATTTTTTTGAAATTTCGAATGAAAATATTCAGACTATAGCCCACATATGTTAAAATTTGGGATTGAAAAATATTTGTTTACATAGGAAGTGCCATTCAAAATGACCGACTTGGTAAATTAATTTGCATACTTGTTACTTCCCCTAGCTTTATTTCCATTTGACAATACGCTGTGTTACTTTTCATAGCATTTAATTGTACCTTACTACATGTACTTAATTGAATTGTTATAATGCTTATTTTTGGGAAGGGAAGTTTCCTAAAATTGATAATTGTGTGCCTGAAATTTCCTGTTTTTCCCACAGGAGGGACATGATGATCAATAGACTGAATTCTCAGGAAATTCAGTCTATTGGATATAGACTAATGTCAAATGGGAGGACAACATAACGAATTCTTGATAGTATATTTCCAGGCAAACTGTTTTATTTTAATGATTGATTTGACATTGCTAGGCTTGCTTCTTGGTACACAGATCTAAATCTGATTTATTTTTGGTTGTTGTCTACAGGCAAACATTGAGAAATTTGATGTGAATTTTTTAGGGATGCTAAAAATTTCAGACTCTTTAGAAAGTGTCATAAATTGTTAAAACTATTTCAGCTTAAAGATGTCACTGTTGGTTTGACGCCAAAGCTGAAGGCAAACAAGAGTGCCCACAGTCTGTCTATAGAGAAAGCTAAAAAGAAAGCAGAGCTAGAAGCAGCTTTAGATGGTAACCAACAGTTAATCAAAGACAGGAAAAAAAAATGGAAACACATAAAGAAATCAAGGAAAAAAGCAGGTAAGAAGCACAACTCTTCAATAACACCTTCAATTGACAGATTGTTTTTACAAGTTCTAATTCTAATTTGTCAAAAGCATTTACATGTATCTTTTTCAATAAAATTTCGCGTTAAATGTTAGAATTAAGAATTTAAGCACTCAACTAAATGTGTGTTAAATATATCACAAGTGAATTGTTCCTTCCTTAATCCAAGACCAAAGACTGCTGAATTCTGAATGGCTGCCATTTTCAAGGAGAAATGTTTTTCATGATAACGCGAATCCCAATATCATGTTTTGGTCACAATTTTACAGGCTATTGCCTCGTGGTCATAGGATCTCTACTTCTAGGAATTGGCTGAAATTTGATATATCATGCCTGGCTATGTATGAGTATGATCTATTAAGACTCTGTTTCTCTATCCACTTATCTGATGGCATATTTTATCTGGGAATTGTTTTTTGAAATAAATAATAATTAATAACTGAGCTTGAGATCAAAGTAGTTTCTGTTTTATGTTTATTATACAAGAATGAATCAGTTTATACATTATAGTAATTCACAAAATTTTTATTTTTATTTTCCAGATAAAGTTGCAGGTTCCCTATCTAATGCACTAGAGGGCGCTATGGACATTTTAGGAACAAATGAAAAATCTGCAGACTCTTATAATTTCTCAACAGACTTTAAGTAGTAAAGATGGCGTGTCAAGGAATCATGGAAGATACTGCCAGTTAATGGCAGGGTCATATCTCGAAATGCAAAAAATTGAAAAAAAATGATATTACAAAGGAATGTACAGTAATGTAGTAAACAGGAATGAAGTACAAGCTCTAAATTGTACAGAAATTCACAAATACTAAAATATCAAATATCATTTTAAGAGACATAGTTTGGACACTATCTCATGGATTAAATTAATGAACACGGGAAAATAATCTGAAAATATAATTATTATTTTAGTTGTGAATCTACAGGGTGTCAAAAAACAACGGCACCCCCCTCTACAGCAAAAACTCCAGAATGTTCCATATCATGTCATACCTTATTTGAAAGATAATTTAATTCTGGAGTTACTCATCAAATTTCATTCAATAAAACTTAATATTAAAAAAGCTACGTTGTTTCAAAGTTTGCTATTTCGGCACTTTGTTTGCTGCTCTGTTACTGGTTAAAAGACAAATCTTCAGGAAGTGAAATATGAAAGAATTACCCCAGATTTCAACTGCACTGAACATATAGGTTCATTTCTGAAAAACAGGGTATAGGAACTGATGGAAAAAGAGCCTCTTGAAAAAAGACACAATAAGGATGTATTTCTGAAGAATGTAAGGAAAGTGCGAAGAGGATTATGCAATGCTACATAACATAACACCTTTATGTGAATTTTTATTGAAATCATATCTGTCCTAATAAGCTGCTGTTTGAGCAGCAACTGGTGGTCATACCAACTACTAAGAATCAGCTGTAAATCTGTAAAATTATATGATATCAAGCTGAGATTTCTCAGGTAACTCCAGAATTAAATTGTCTTTAAAATGAGATATGACACACCATGTAACATTAAGTACTTTTTGCTGTAGAGGGGGGTGCCATTGTTTTTTGACACCCTGTAGATAAATAAAAAATTATCAACAAAAGTATCTTGAATTAGGCTTGTTGATTTGAATACTGTAGGGTTGATTTGAATACTGTAGGGTAGTCCAAAAAACTTCTAAAATACATCATCTTGAATTTTTATTAAACATTAGATCATTCAAATGTGATTTTGCTGTAGATATTTTTCTTACCATTTCACAAACATTTCTTTTCATATAATACTTCTAAATTGGCATCATTTCCATGTTTAAATTGCTTATACAGTTTTTGGCTACTGATATTATCTCTATCATCAGTTTTCATTCCACAAACGAAATATCAATTATTTTGCCCAATATTTCAGTTTCATTATTTTGAAACATTGACACATGTTTTAATTGGCAGTTTAAAATGGTGCTCATTAACTAAATCCAATATTCAGCGTCCCTTTAATATCTATTTAGGGGCAAATCAATACTAGGCTTAGCAGGTCATCTGATTCTCAATTTGATTTTGATATTGCAGCCATGTGTGTTGTGTTTTCATGTGTTATTTTATATATGTCCGACAAATCGAATTATGATTTTGGTACTATCTAGATGTGTTTAATAGTATCTAGATGTCTCGTTCATTCATTTTACCAATAAAAATCATAACTGCCTGGAAAGTAATTTGAATAAAGAACAGGGTGGTCCAAAAAAAGTGAACCGTTGCAACCGCCTATATTTTCCTTATTACCTGCAGGAATCATTTCATAGTTTCACGCGTTGTAGAGGAAGGTCTAAAATTTTTGTTGGTACTATACATTTTTCTTAGTATTGAAATTTGCAGAAATAATAAGGCCCTTACGAAACATCACTGAAAGTAAAATGTGAACTTCAATACCTGCGATTCTTCAGCCCTTCAACAATTTTCTCATGGAAATCTTTTAAGCCGAGGTCTGGGAAACCTAATGTTTTCTGACTGTTGTTTGGTTTTGAATCCCACACAATATGATGTAAAAATTAGCATCCTACCTCTGTAAGTTGCAAAATTATTGTGATAAAAAGAAGTTCAATGTTTCCAAAGACGAGAACATCTTTCAGTGACATCGCAACATAACCCTATATCGTCTTAAAATGTCAATATCTTCATGAATCATGGACCAATTCTAATGAAATATGGCTCAAAACACTGAATATTAGATTTCCTTTTGATTTTTGTAAGATTTTATATGAAGGGCTTTCTCAGATTTTGGGTCACAATGGGTAACTTTGCCCCCCTCTACCCGTTTGAGTAGGTAACATGCCTCTAAACTGTTGAATGGTTAAAACAGCTTCAAAATGGTCAATAAAAGTGTGAAATGTGTTTTTTGCTCAAATAGTGTCCCATTTGTCATATGGTAGGGTTTAAACTTATAATCTCTCACTGAAAGCTTTTTAAGATCATCTAATGTGTATCAACAATTTCCGTCAATCACATTGGTAAAATTTTGCACAAAATCTAATTTGAGGCATGTTTGTTTAAGTCTTGTAATTTCTTCGAAATTCAAGACTGAGAATAAATCATGGTGTCAACAAAAATTTTAGACCTTTCTCTACAAGATGTGATAATATGAGCAAAATCATGCATGTATTAAGGAAAATATAGCCTATTGCAGGGGTTCACTTTTTGGACCACCCTGTATGTAAATAAATGAATTAAAACGTCAAATTAAGAAGCAAAAGTCTTTTCTGGGTCACTGCGAATGGCATGATTTCCTCGAGTCTCTTCAGTTGCAAGGCAACCATACTGGGACCGATTCGCGTCGTTCCACTACTGCCCTTGGTGGGGGCCCGCTACCATACTATATGACTCCCGGAGTTTACTAAAGCACGTTAGTGGAGGAACCAACCACAGTCTCACAATCTGTCTCCGGCAAGAGCGGCCAGAGAACCAACCCATGCCAAGGGCCGGTAAACGGTTGGACCTTCGGACCGGGTGTCCGTAGTGACAATGATCAACAACTCCGTACCTGGGGCTCGAACGCGGGACCTCCGTATCCCACGACGTTCAACCGCAAAGTAGCCTCAGTCTACACCACTAGGCTACCCTGCTTAGGTGTCAAAACTGCTAAAAAATAATGTAGTTGTTACAATTATTTGCTTGGATAAACATGATTAATCTGATATAGTTGGAATCGAGGTTCGACCAACGATCAAGGCAATGCAATCAACAACTCAAGAGTTGCAAGATTGCAAATGTGAACGGGAGTGGTAAAGACAGAATCAATGTAAAGTATAATATTTAAGACACATCTTTGAATATCGGGTAGGAGAAACATTCCAAAATGAAGAAAAATCATTTAGAACATTTGATGTGTTGCCAATATGTCAATTGGGTCTCAAATGAATGAAATGAAATTAGGTATCGCGGGCCACTAAAGCCGATGAGTGAAAACAATTATAATTGACGCATCTAGATCGCTCAATATAACGGTAAGTGAATAGGTTTGCGTAGTCGAGGAAAATAAGCTATTTCGACGCTTAAAATAATCTGATTAGCTTATTAATAATTACACGTGGCTATTAAACACAAGTGTTGTGTAGAACAAAAACAAGAAAACTGAACGACCTATTAAGCAGTTAAGGAACTGTACTTCAGTTTCAAAGTGTTCAAGGGAAAATAATCATGTTTCCGAAAAGAATTTACACTCGCTACTCAAAATGAGGCACGGACACAAATACAGAGAATAGCCTAGTGAAGGCATCTATCTAATAGAGGCTTTTCCATATAGCTTTGAAAGGTCTCGTTTAATGAGATTTTAGGAGATCTGCATTTTAACCACTCAAGGTTAACATTTTCTTCTATTTGAATTCTGTGTCAATTTTCTATCAAAACAACTTAGTTTTTGCACTGTTATTTACCTTCATTCAAATTCTAGAGATTTTCAAGTTTTCTAAAAATGGTCAGACTAAATCCCCATTGACACAATGTTGAAAAACCTTCAAAAGTTCTCTTACAAGGATCACAATTTTAATGTGAAATCACAATCCATATGTCAATAATATCATATGGTTACATTCTAATTGTGTTTTAAGTTGATTCAAATGGAATTGCTTGTTAAATCAAGAAATTAAGTGACTCTTGTCATGTTATTTAGCCCTACCTACAATGATGCCATCTATTTTTCCATTTATATGAAAAGGGTCGAACTCCCGTGCAGTGATACATCACTGCGGCGGGCAGGTGTCTCACCGTAAGCATGGTAACATCGTAATAAACAACTGACGTGATTGGTTCTAGTCCCATGCTCAGGTCGCGTGATTGTAAAATGTAGACAATTTCATTGGTTGAATTGCGCGTATTAACTAATAAACAACACGTGCGGTAAACTTTTATCAACACAACTTTTACTCAGAATTCCTTCCGCGGGGATTTGCTCTTATATTTCATTGATTTTGGAATATTTTGACAAAATAATTATTGGTGAACATAAAAGAACATTTATTTTATAAGTTGTGTGAAAAACAAGTACATCTGTGACAAAAAGGGGGACTATCTTCCCCAAATTTTGGGGATTCCATAATCTGCCCGCCGCAGTGTCTATACCGAGACACTGCATAGGAGTTCGGAAAAGGGTCAATTCTACAGAATCAGACTTTTTGGGGAATGCGTTGAGCTGTGACGTACCACATCCTTTCAGGGTGTATCCAAGGAGGATTGGCTCCCAGAGTGCAACATCGATATTCTGTCCCATATATGGGCATGTCGTGCTACAAAATTTGAATTCCAACAGCCGCCATTTTGTTCACTTCAACATTTGAATCGTAAATTTTGGTCTTATTTCCTAACGAAAAATTCCAAAACTCACAGGAAATGATTGAGATATTGGTTCGAATCTTTTGAACTGTTTATTTTGAATTTATAATCGGTTATAATTTCAGAAAATAACGACATCTCGGCGTTTTCATTGTTGGAAAATATCGACTTCGATTCTGGGAGCCAATCCTCCTTGGGGTGTATCAATAACATTCTATGGTTTAATTCTCTATTTTGTTCTGGTAAATATTATGATACATAAAATCGCAAAAATAACTTTCCAATGGTGTGCTTAACGTGTGGCTAGCCTTGCTTTACCACGATGAATAAATGCAC